ACTGACATACCAACCCTTCCCCTGTTTATAGGAGCCTGGATGCCAAAAGCCAATTGTCCCCAACATTGCTGAGAAGTACTTAGCACAGCTAAATGTCACAAAATGATTATTTTCAATTGCAGTTTAACAGAAAATCAACAAATAAATAATCCCTTGTAAATGTAGACATAAGTATTGTTTATGGAAACAATGAGTGTACTAAAAAGCCCTAGGCTAGCTCTGTTTGGCTAGCAGTGGAAATAGGTGTGTAGATAGTTACTACACGGCCCCATAAAGATAGTTGCAAGAGATTCCCCATCATATATTCCCAGTGTTTGATAAACTGCCAGGGTTTAATTATATTTAAGAGATTCAAGGATTTCTTTTATTGGTGGGGCTTGTTTTTTTCTGGTGCTATGGAATTTATGATGAATACACAAGAGGCCTGCGGTGCAGACGTGTTGCATTTGAAAGTCAATTTCAAGTATTAAATGCTACTAAAAAACTTCATATCCAGCACAGGTAGATGCAGAAATAGACAGCATCAACTACACCTAGAATAACAATAATAACAGAGAGACTACACAACTTACATCCCAACAAACAACAAAGATGGGGAGCGCAGGAAATGCCTCCAAAACGTTGCATCTTAAGTGATCAAAGCCAGCAGTCCTGCTTCTACAAGCTATGAATGAAGCTCCTTTGCTGGTCGTGAGATTTTTGCAGGGGTAACAAGATACAGATTTAGATTCAGATGACTTTGTTGTACATTCAATTTGCATAAAATGGAAATTCATCTTTGGCACTGCCATATGTCAGCATACACACTATACACAGCAATACATAACATAGCAACAAACAAAGATTTTATGTTATGGTAGAAAGTAAGTTAAAGTGACTATTTTAAGGCTATTTTAAAGGCTGGGCAGCAGGATACCATCCTCTGTCTGTCGGTTGGGCAACAATAGCTCACAGCACTGCCAGGAGTGAGTAACATTGGAGGAACTCGGGTAGCCGTACGGTGTCACGGGTGGTCTCCAACCTCTGTGCTGACTATACCTGCCTCCTTTTTCTAATTTTCACCAGTTTCTGGTTCCTCTGGAGGAGGCTGTTTGAAGCTGAAAACTGAATAACGAGTTTACTTTAAGTTAACGCATCTTGCGTGTTTTGAACATGAATTGGTCCAGGTGATTCTAGTGCTAGAACTAAGTTTTCACATAAGGTTACTATGGCAATTGGAGCGCGCTATTGGACCAGATCAAGTGTCTGGTCATTTCTTTGTGGGGCTATAGTGGGCTATAGCAGCTATAGCTCCACCTTGCCCCTCCTTAGAACTGATTATGCCTGACTAAAAGGTGTTTGATGGGGTTCAGGTCAGGGTTCTGTGCAGTCCAGTTCTTCAGAAAACCAGCACCAGAAAAACGGCTGTATAGTGTAGGTCTAAATCTTTTTGGAAATCTGAATATGTTACACATCCTGAAATATCAGTCTGTTGATAGTCCATGCAGTAAATGATATGGCAAATGCAGACAATAACGTTCTGTGCAAATTTACACATAATGTCAGATTAATCCGCCTTCCCACCAGAGAAAAATGTTTTGAGCCTTGTAAAATCACAGACATGCAGCACGTTTGTGTTTGTGCATCTTTTCATGAACAGATGCCAATCTGTATATTTCCCATGGTGGGTGGAAAATGCAAACCGCAGTGGAGTGATGCTCTTCAACGGTCTTTTTGATACTGCATTGTAATGTGGGTACAACTAACCACCAGTTTGATCAGTCGCAGGGCAGAGTTCAGCTGCAACCCAGATAAGTTGAAGATTGTCACCAGGCAGAAGAATGTAGGTTGGAGCAGCTGGGTACGAGTTTGCTCTGTCTCACAACTTGTAAGAGACACAATAATATGTGTTGTATTTATATTTCTGTAAATGTGCTATAGTTAGCCAAAAGATTTTCCAGTCCAGATGTCTTACATAGCAGCCAAAAATAATAGGAAATACTTAAAATAACAGCAGAAATAACAACACATACGTACTACTTGAAGATACAAGTACCAACACTTGAGCAGATAACGCAGGGTTGCTCCCTGAGACCAGGCATACAGCCTATGACGCAAATTTGTGAAAAACCATTCAACAATATTTACTAAGCACACAAGCCTTGATTACTAGGAAATACGCAGTATAAACAAATAGTTAGCAGAGACACAGATAGAACATTTTTTAAAAAAGTGGCGAGTTGGCTGCCGAAACTGCACCACTTTATTGCTGCCGTGCTTAATCGCTAGTGAGCAGTGGTTATCAAGAAAACTAAGAAAAGTAACCTCCTCATCAGCTCTCCTTCCCCTCCTCAGCCAGCCGGTTCCCCACATGGTTCTGGCGGCTGATCCAGGTTTGTAAGCTACTTCACAGGAGTCTCTTAGTTGCAGATTAGTCATCCCTCCAGTGATTCAACATACACACTTGTCCCTCTCTCCTGATCTGCTACTCTTACTTGCTTCATGTTTTTTCTCTTGGCCACAACCTCTTCTCATTTCCTCCCCAAATGGGCTCCTTCAGCCGCAGTTTTCCTCTCCTGGGTTTTGACCTTCTGTTATGACTTCTTCACATCGTCTAAACTCGTTCTCCACTTTTCATTTGTGAGCTCCTTTTCTCTCAGAATTGTCCACTATCCTTGGTTATCAATAGAATTCAAAGGGGAGAAACAATTCACTTACTTTTTTGCATTCATATATTAAAAGCTGTCTTTCTGTTTCATTTTTGCATTTCTGTTCGGTGGGGTTCCTCAGGGTTCACTTCTGGGTCCCCTCATCATTTGCATACGGCACTGTATGGGCTAAATCCATGAACTTTAAACTTCACAGACTCAATGCCATTTTTTAAATTCCAGTTCAGATCAGTAAATCTGCAAACATAATAAACATCATGCAAGATATTTAAAATTCTTGGCTGATGTAATGGTGCAGCCATACAAATTAATCTGGTTTTGAACATTTAAATTAAGACAATATTTCTTCAGTGTAGGGAGGCAACTAATGATTGTTTTCATAAGAGATTAATCTGAAGATTATTTTCTCTGTACATCAATTATTCATTCTATTTGTAAAATGTCAGACTATTGTTTTTAATCGTTTCTAAAATGGTTTTCTGTCATTTTCCTTGAGCCAACGTCTTTAATTTGCTTATTTTGTCCAACCAACAGTCCAAACCCTAGAGATATTCAATTTCCATCAATCATATAAGATAAAAAAAAGCTGGTGATCTTAAATAAGTAATAAGTAAACTTAAAAGTTAGTTAGATGATCAATTGATTTTTGACAATTAACTTAATGTCTATCTGTAATCGATTAATTGTCTAATTGTTTCAGTTCTACGTGCATTGTAACAAGGTAAAAGAGAACATAACTTTAAGACAAAACTTTTATCTAACTTTAAAGCCACTTGAAGAAATGAGACTTTGAAGGAAACCACTGAAAGGTCAATTTAATCTCAGTTAAATAACCAACAGAAATACAGGAGTGACTATGAAAAAATTGTTTGAACGTCCTTGTCAAATAACATCAAACTGAATATTTCAGTTTAGCCAAACAGAGTTCATCCTGCCATTCAGAGGCTCCAGAGTTCGAGGATTTTACTGCAGCCTGAGTTGCTTGACAAATATGGGCCCTAGCTGGATTAGGATCACAGCACTAGATCTCTCTCCACTAACCCCCGAGGCCCGAGGGCAGAACGTGTGGGAAAGCAAGATTGACAGGAAGTTGTCGTGTAAAGGCAGAGGTGTGTGTGTGTGTGCTTTCTTGCGTGCATATGCGTATGTGTGTGTTTGACCAGCAGGCAGAACACAGGGCCAGGGCAGGAAACGAAGTGGTTGTGCATTCGGTTAGAGGAAACAGAACGGCAGATAAATTACCCAGAGTTGGGCTGGCACTACTTCTGAGGGCCAAAGCTGAGTGGACGCTGAGTGTTGACATGGAGGATGTTGTGTCTAAAGCAACAGGAACATAAACAATGCACCTTTTTTTTAATTCACCCAGTATTTCAAACTCAAAATGTATATTTCTTACTCTGATTCTGGAAGATGAACAGAAATAGAACATCAGATATACTGTATTGTTTATGCATATGTACAAGGGGACAAGTTGTTGGACCACCACAAGCTACCAGAACAGCTTCAGGGCTCCTTTGCATCAATTCTACAAGTCTTGATAACTCTACAGGAGGAATAATATACACTTTTTTGGTAAGTTATTCCCTCATTTGGTGGGGCTAGGTGGTTTTGATAATGGCGGTAGAGTCAGTCCCAAAAAAATGTCATACTCATCAAACCATTATGTTTCTTGTGCTTCATTTCATGCTATTTGTTCCGCTTCTCCCCTAAATTTGTTACCCATCTGTAAATTGTGTCAGTGGCGATGGACCTCTGGGTTAGATGAGAGATTCAATTTGGCAAATGCTGCCATCTAGTGGTCATATATCACCTGTTCAGTTTCAGTTCAGCACTTCACCAAGTAAGTAAATTTGATTCCTGACCGAGACACACCTCGTGGTCCATTTAGCACTAATATAGAAACAGCTTTTGACTTTGATTGCAAAGGTTTAATGGATCTGAACATTTAAAGGCCCCATAACGATCTCCATCTGACATAAATCCCTGAATAATATGTTATATCTCATTTATCTAGAAGCCCAAGATCTTAGGTTGCACAGTTGAAACCCTGAAATATTCTAATTATGATGTGTTGAATTATGCCAACTTTGTCTCAAGAACCTGAAAAGGAAGGCAGTGCTGTTGAGTTGTTGTTTAGAAAATGTATATTTAATTGGCCCCTCTGGCTAATCTAGTTTATATTAAGCACACTGTAGCTATATGCATGACACAATAATAAAAACTTAAATCACTTCACATCTTCAGCAAAAATGGTATTTTCAACTGAGTCATGATACAGTAATTATAGGTCACTTTCATATGCTTAGATATAGAACAGATGGATATGAAACATAAAACATGGACTCACGATGGTACAGTATCTTGAAAATTTATTAAAGTGGGCAAAAAGCAGTTGGCAAACAAGCATTTTTTTTCATGTCACTACAAAACTGTTAGTAAAGAAACAACCTGCAAGAAAGTTGTTTTTCTTTTCCCTTTCTTGTTACAAAACATTTCAGTCAAGGCCTACAGAGAAAAAAAGAGGTTGTTTATGATATTCTACAACCTATGAAATAAAGCAAGAGCTCTACTCAGGGTCGAACAAATCTCAGTCAGGTGTATGTGTTCAGTAAAAAAGTTCCTGAGTGAGAACAAGCTTCTGTCAGTCAGATACAAATTCATTTAATCTGACTTCAATTAAACAAGGTTAGTGTTGGGTGTATTCACAATAATCTCTAACACTGTTCAGAAGAAAGGGGATATCCAACAGCATATGGCTCTAATTACAGTACTAAGGCAAAGGAGTGTGATGGGAAAACAGTTCAGAAGTCTCTAGAGGACGCGGTCAAAGAAATGCATTTGAAATGTATTCTCAAACACCGTACAGTGTATATCCGTACCTACAAAGACAAAGTGAAAGAGATAGGAGCATTGCGAACAGAAAACCTTTTCTGGTAACTGAAATAAATTAATAAAATGGTAGAAGGAAGCCTGGTGAAATTGGCATCTATGACAATAGAGAGTATTACTGATATTGACTGTCATGCTCAGTTGAAAGTCTGATTACAGGCACGTGACAGCAGACAGAACTCTAGTTACAAAACTCAACCATTTGCTTTCAGCCAACACATTTTGCATGCTTTTCAAGTAAGAACATAAATGGAGACAAGAGGAAGGGAAATGCAAGAAATAAAAATCTTACCCCCTAAGTATCCTCTGAATCCAAAAGACAAGAATATTGAGACCACACTGTTTGACATTTGAAATTAAATGTAGTTTTTTTTTATGACAGTAAACAATTATATTCAACCTGTTATATGTAAAACATGAATAATGACAGGGAAATAAACTAATTCAGGTGTCACTAGACCAAATAGTGCGTTGTTATACTCAAGGAAAAAGCATCTCATTCACACAAAACAGACACAAAACAAGGCCATCAAAAATACAACTATCAAACCTCTTCATTAACATACAGTAACTTAGAAAACATGACATGATAATACAGTTCAGTAAAATACATTTTTATAATTTTTGTGCTAATAGGAAAATAGCAATACAAACAGTATCATGCATTTTCTTCGTAGAAGTGCGGCCAAAAAAAACAAAACAACCCCATTTCTATGTGATTTTTGGGCTGGCGTTGAGCAAAGTCACATGCATTGTTAAGAGGGCACAAATAATTTAGATTGTATCAGAAAAATGTTGACAACCATGAAACATTGAACAAGTAAAAACACTGTTGTATCATAAAATAGATACTATTAACAGCAGCGCTAACTGAGGCTTTTATTTTTCTAAGCGCACATTGTAACAGGAACAAACCACATCAACCTGTTTTCATTGGACCGTGTCCAACTGCGTGTGATTTAAAGTTACTGCACATTGAACGTGTAGTGTTAATGTGCATCTATTGAGATTATAGGTTTGGCTGGTACACAGAAGATAACCACCTGGTTCACACACTCGTTTGAGTGGTCAGTTGGCTGATGTACAGTATCTGAATGCCGGGCTGGGGTTTCCCAAAAACAGTGTAACACTGATGACCTTTAGATTGCAGTTGGTCAAAGTAACATTAGCGAAGGCAATGAATATATGATTGTAAACCTATTCATCATTAACAATACTCAAGGTTTATCCAGAGGCACGGTGTGTTGGTTCCTTGCTTGTAAGCAGTACAAGCAATATGTGAATTCTGACTGGAGGACATGCGGTGGTGGATACGGCTGACGGCAACGCTTCAGTTTTGTTCACAACATGCTTTTGGGAAACCAGGCCCAGTGTCTCTCAGCAGGTCTCCTTGGCTTGGCTTGGCATCTTGCACATCATCAGGATCTGCTTCAAGGCTTTCTGAACGTCCTCGTCCATCTGACCCTGAAGGCACACAGCACAGGTTCAGTTAACCAACTACAATCATTACGCAGTAAGTAAAATTAGTATAATATAAAAGGTTTGTCCACATTTTTTGATATTCGTCTGAGGTTTCTGCTGCCATTCAATTACAATAGAGGGGAATAGAAGTGTTTGTGGTGCTCACTGCATTGAAACATTATACAAGAGGAAAGATCATGGAGACAGATATTTTAGAGATTGTTATTTCAAAACATTTGCGAATAAAAAATATCTGCATTGCTAGAGACCACAACTACGAAGTGATAAAATATTCATATATTCTCCTGTCAGTTGAAGATAATTTGCAAGCTTTAGGCTTTGAACTAATGGATGTATTTACCTGGACAGCATAGAGGAGGTGCATCCTGTAGACGGACACAATCTCATTATGCTGCTTCTTTGACTCCTACACAGAAAAAACAAGATGAATATGATATATTTCAGATAGTACCGTGCACTCTCTTGTGTTTCAAAATTGAAATTATTGTGTGTTCTGTCTGTCTTACAGCTAGCTGGTACTGTAGTTGTTTGATTTGTTGCTGCATTGTCTCTAGTTGCTGATTTTGCTGCAGTCTCTTGGAGGGAGAACCAGAGGTGTAGGAGAGCTGTGATAGGCTGTTTAAGGCGTCCTTCAGCTTCCCCACCTCCCGTGACAGGTCATCTATCTGAGAGGGACAAACACAAAATAGTTTAAAAAACAACATAAAAATAAATCAGGCCCCGATTACCAATTCATGTCTCAAGTTTATGTCAAGTGGTTAATGAAGTACTACAATAGTGATGGTGGTTCTGCAGTGGCTGTGAGATTAATACTGACCTTCTTGTTTTTCTCTCTCTCTGAGGCAACGTGATTCTCCACCAGCTGTTTGAGCTGACACACAGCATCCTGGGACTCGGCCAACCTGGAGGTCAGCATCTGGTTCTCCTTCTCCCTCGACATCACCAGCTCCTGCAGGGCCTCCCGCTCTGCACGATTCTCCCGCGCCTGATGAGAGGATAAGGGGTTGTAAATTATATGAGGGAAGGGAATTTATAGTCAACATTTGGAAAGTTGTTTTTCATCCGACCCTTCCTCCTTGCTCTTCTTTCTTCTCACCTTCTGCCATGCATCAGCAGCCTCCAGAGCCATCTCATCCTGCTTCCTGAGGGCCCCCTGGAGGAGCTGCGTCAGGTGGTTCACCTCGCCCTCCAGTTGCTCTCGCGCGGTCTCGTGCTCCACACGGGAGACTGAATCATCCGGGGTGACATCTTTCTCTGCCGTCAGCCTTTTTGTGAAATAGACAAAGGAACCACATGGTAAGAAGTATAGTATGGGACTACAAGTACGTAGAAGTACAAGTAGTTTGACTAGTGACCACAAAGTTCTGACACATGGTCAACTTGATCCACCTAGGAGAAATATCCCTTCATATTTATAGCCATTTAGCCCAGAGTAAAAAGTACAAGGTTTATACAGGTATTATCCTCTGTATATGCAGTGGATAAGTATAAAGTAGCATAAAATGAAAATACTCAAGCACAAGTGCCTTAGAATTGTTCATAAACACAGTATTTATGTAAATACACAATATACAATTCGTCCACTGCTTTTCTAATTCCTCATATACCATTTCAGAAGCCCCACCGTCAGTCTTTAGTAAAAGCAGAAACAGAAGCATCTATCAGTTTTCTTCCTCACCTGTTCTGAAGAGCCTCCACCTGCATGGTTTTCTGGTGTAACTGTTCTTTCAGGGCCTCTGACTGGCTTTCCAGCTCTTTGATGGCATTTCCCAGAGATGACATCACTTGTGTGTGGTCAGCAAGGGCCACAGAGCTCTGTGCCTGAGCTTCTGCCTCCCGCTTCAGCCGTGAAATCTCCTCTTGAGCTCCAGAGTAATTCTTCTCTGTCTCAGCTAACAACGTCTGCAGCTCCTCCACCTTGCTGTTTAGCACCTGGACCTGTTGTTGCTGCTGTTGTTGTTCTGAGGAGGGAGATGAGGCTGCACTGCTCTCAGCTCGGGCCTCGGCCAGATGTTTCTGTGCAACACTCAACTGATTCTTAGTTTCACTGTAGGAGTGTGAGAGTTCCAGCAAGCGGCGCTGCAGCCCAGCAATTACCTCGTTGAGCTCGGCCTTCATTTCTTCAAAGTCTTTGGCTGCAGCTTCGACTGGCACTGTACCTCTCAGAGCCTCCTAAACAACAAAAAGGAATACATTAAAGGATGACTGAATGAAATAAAATAAAATAATAAAAAGTATGTATGTAGTAAGTATGTTGTTGAATTCAAGAGGCAAGTGATGTACAGTGAGCCAACTAAAATGGTTAAAGAATAATTTAAAGACAATGTAAAAGCAAGTTCATCTGTGGTCTTGTAGACATCAAAAGAGTACTCCAGAGATCATTTTATTCTACACATTCTTCTTCCTAGTCAAAACCTGGTGCCTACATTACCCACCATGCAACTCGACCACCAAAAATTCAGATTCAGGTGTGTAATGCTAGTAGCGGCTAATGTAGCCTCGAGCTGCTAGCCTCAAGCAGAGATGAGGAGCGCCTAAAGAGGTCTGGTAAACTAACTCCACACCAACAGATCTTTTTTTATTTTTAAACTTGTAGTACTCCCCAAGAGCTGTCAACAGACGCTGATAGGTTACCCTTTCAGTCCAACAGAAATTTAGAGAGAAGAAGAAGAAGCCCATTTGTACCTGGAGCATCCTAATCTCCTCCTGTGCTTCCTTGAACAGCTCCTCAATCTGCGCTGTCCTCTGTTCTTTCTCCATTACACTCCGTCTTTCCTCCTCTGCCCTCCTCAGCACCTCCTCCAGCTGTCTGATTCGTTGAGCAGCTTTCTCTTGCTCACATCCCGATTGGACGAGCTGGGCCTTCAGCTGTTTCACTTCATGTTCAACTGTGGATGACAAACATCTCTGGACCTCCTGTTTCTCCATCGGCTCACCTCCTCCCCTTCCCACCTGCGTTCTCAGCTCCTCCACCTCCTCCACAGCTTGGTGGTATCTCTCCTGAGTGTCCGTCAGCTTCGCCTGAAGCTCTGCTAGACTCTCCATCAGCTCTTCCTCTCTTCCTTTCTCCCTCATGGTTTCATACTCCCCTCTTTCTCTGCTTTGCTCGGGTTTCATCTGGGCCTGAAGCGAGCGGTTTTCCTTCCTGGTTTCTAGTAGTTTCATCTGAACGTTCTCTAGCGCCTGTCTCAACAGTCCGATCTCCTCTTTGCTCGCTCCTTCAGTCTCTTCTTCCACCCGTTTCACAAAAACACCACCTGAACCGTCTTCCCTTTCCACCTGGGTGGTGGAGGGGACTTGTGGCACTGATTCAAACTCATCTTGGGTGGAGTGGAAGGAAGAGTTGGAGGCCATGCTGCTTGGACGACTGGTCTCCTTCAGGTCCTCACTTCCTTGGAAGGACGGATGTTTCTGTGGGGCAAAGAGTAGAAAAAAGTTAATTACATTAAAATAAAAATATCACTAACAGAGCATAGAGGCGTTTTGGCCAAAGTCTGTCATTACATGGAGCCAAGCAAGCAAAATCTCACATTTTAGCCTTCAATCAAATAATGTTGCTAATTTCTGCTTTAAAAATGACTCGATTGATTATGATGATTAATCAGTTATCAAAATAGCTGACTAATTTTCTGTCAATCAGCAGCAGTAATAAAAGGGAGGGCAATCTGAATATATCTTTAACTGACGATTGGAATGATATAATTTCTGGTATTTTCATGATGGGTTAGAGTTAATTAGCTACTATTACATCTTTATGTCCATCATTTGTAAATATGATTTTTAAAAAAAAAATTTTTTAAAACCAGTGAGACCTGAAGAGTGACAGAAAGGGGGAGAGAGAAGGGATGACACGCAGCAAAGGGCCACAGGTCAGATTCGAACCCTGGGCTGCTGCAGCAAAGATTCAGCCTTGGTATATAGCTGGCGCCCTATCAGGTGAGTTATCCGTTACCCTGATTCTATTTCTAGAGCTACAACGATGAATTGATGAACAGAAAAGTAGGTGCAGATATTTTCTTTTCAGACATGTCATTTTAAAAGCAAAAACGTATGTAAACTGAATAAATTTTGGTTTTGGAGTGTTGGTCACAAAAAACAAGCCATGAAAATAGATTTTTGACTATTTTTCGACATTTTATAGCACATTAATCAATAATGAAAATAATTGTCGGTTGTATCCATACACATTTTAATTTTGTAACTATAGATTATAAATTACACTACTTTTTTCAGTTCAACCTTATAACAAGACTGAAAATATGTACATTGGAATAGTTTAAGTCACTGTAACTGATTTCCTGTCTATACTGGCTGAAAAGAAAATCTCCTAAATGTGATTCCAAAAATTGGGGACACTGTTTGCTGAACCTCAGGGGAGGCACAGTTATAAAAGACTACATTTTGTACTAAAATCATTCCAGCTTTGGAACATACCCAGACAGCTGAGGCCTTGTACTACTAGGTTAATATTTTTTGGTTACATAAAGAGAGACAGAAAAAGGGGAGAGAAGGAGGGGATGACATGCAGCAAAGGGCCCCAGGCTGGAATCGAACCTGGGCCACTGCAGTAAGGACTCAGCCTTAGTACATAGTGTACGTGTTCTACACCGGGTGACCTACGGGTGCCACATATTTTTTTTTTTTTTCTTTTTTTTTTTTTTTTTTTTTTTTTTTTTTTTTTTTTTTTTTTATATTATTTGTAAATTGCCTGTTTATAATTAAGTGTGTGAATTTCAAAGTTTTGTTGGTTTTTTTTTTTTTTTTTTTTTTTTTTTACTGTAGTGTAAGTTCTTAACCTCTCACATGAAGAATGTGCAGCAGTCGCTTAGCTCATATATACAGTGTACTGCCCTTATCTTAAGTATGTTCATTCAAGGTTTATGGGTTACATACCTTGAGTTTGCTTGCAAGTTGCTGGTTCTCCAAAGTAAGAGCAGTAATCTTGGTTTGCAGTGCAGAAACCAGAGCTGCAGACGCTGGAAAACTGTGCTCGACCTGTCAACACATATACACACACACACACACACATACACATACATTCACATGCAGAGGCACACAGACATAAAAGCAACGTTAAGGACCACTAGCTACCTACTGAAAAACAAAACGAGTTGTAGCATGTCTAAAACTTAGGTTAGACCTCCTTCAAGAATGCCCAAGGTGAAAAAGTTCAGTAGTACACAGCTGTCTGTTGTCTGTATAGTATTAAAGTTAAAAAGTAGTGTTGACGTAAGATTTTAACAACCGGGGAAACATTTACTAAACTCGGTGTAAAAATGACTCAAAAGTCAAAAAAGCCACCATGTAAAAATGCAGTTTTTTCATCCAATTAATTGTTGGATAGAAGATTAATTTACAATATGTTTATACACCTTTTGTTATTTTATTTTACCTTTATTTTACCAGGAATATTCCCATTGAGATACAAAACCTCTTTTACGAGGGAATCCTGGCCAAGACAGCAGCAAGTTTAAGATAAAAGAAAAAAACAGTAAAGATTAAAACAAACAGCACAAAGTAGTAGTTATCAATAGTTATATTGAATGCATCTGTTGTGCTCTATACTGTTTGAATGCTCTACTTTACAAAGTAAAAGTCTGACCTCATTTACCTAGACCAAGCATACTTTCATAAACATCACATCTGTTTTCAAATCTGCTCATGTAATATTAACACGTCACTACAGCGGCGTTCATCACCTTTGTCTCCACCTCAGGGAAAGTCACCGTCTGCTCCACTGTCTGCTTCAGGTCTTCGATTGTCTCAAGCAACATGTTTCTCTCCTCATGGAGCTTCTCGACCTCCTCTCTCAGTGCCGTTCCTCTAACCTCATCCTCCTTTGAAATGAGAAAGGGGAGGAGTGGCGGGAAAGAGGGAATGGGAGGGGAGAAGAGCAGTAGATGGAACAAGAAGAAGAAGGAGAGAGTAAAAGGTGAGAGAAGGAAGAGAAAGGATATAAAAGGTTGAGGGCAAAATTTCAGTTCATTGGTATTTAAAATGCTACTTATAAGTTAATTATATACAAAATTTCTCCCTCAGGGTTTGAAATGTAAGAATGTTGCATATTTGAGGTCATTCCTGAAACACCTTTGCATGTTTTCAATCGACATCCAACACAAATTTGCACAAATGGAAAATAACAAAAAATAGCTTGTTTTCATCCATGATGTTAATGCTGCTTTCCACCTGTGTTTATATTATTAATATCTTTATATCCCTTATTTTAGGGTCACGATATACACACATTTTCTATATATGATTTATATCTTATTTTTGTTTGGTTATCTCCTAACTGTACATTGAGATTTAACCTACTTATAAATGTATTTTGTATTTACACATTTTCATTGCTCTTGTTGACCTTTCATATACACACACACACACACACACACACACACACACACACACACACACACACACACACACACACACACACACACACACACACACACACACACACACACACACACACACACACACATATATCTCACAGTGTGCGTTTTCTATGGCTCCTTATTTACTGCAAATTTCGGGCTTATTGAATATATTGTGTTTTTATTTTTTCTTATTATTTTTCTTTCTCATTTTGTACATCTGGATGTCTCTGCTGCAACAAATCAGACTCTGAAGAAGGCACATTGTTGAACCTCAACTTGTGGAATATATTCTGTACTGCATACCTGTCACTCTTATTAAAGTTACTATATTTGTTATTTCAACCACTGTTTTTGTTTTACCTTGTAGTTGAATCTTCTGGGAGTTTCACTTTTGTTGGATGCAGGGGTCCCAGTGGAGGTAACAGCTGAGGGAGAAGAGGGTCCAGAGCTCTGAAGAAGGATTAAGTTGATTAGTTTGATTCGATTTTGGATTTGTTTTCTAAATTTCTTAATCGAGTAAAACTCAATAAAGTGACATAATGGGTTATTATGGCCCTAGCACATTTTTAAATCCTTTTACTCTGGAAAAAAGGCAGATTAGTACATAAATGAAATAAACATGAATGAAATATATTGTCACACTCTGATCAACTGCTGAGTGAAGAACAATTATATAACAGATAATATGTAAAAAGACCACACACACAGGTCCGACTGCTCATTTTTTAAACTGCAGTGCAGACGTGCATTAATATAAAGAGTGGCATACTGATACAAGCAGACAGATACACAGAGAGGCATGCATTTACCTGCAGTGGGCTAATAGGAGGTGGAGGTGCTTTTCGTTTTTTGGGAGTTGTGATCCGTTCATCACTTAGCTTAGCTACTTGATCATGCTGAGGAGCCAGCAAAAGAGAAGAAGAGGCAATGAAAAGAGATTTAAAAAAAGAAAAGAAAAGTGGGATTCAGTGCTGGTTAGTAAAAGGAGAGTCAATCAATGAGTGCTACAGTAAGACTTAAGTTTTATTTTCCTAAAATAGCAACTAAAAGATTTTTTACAAGCTGAGGAATTTGATATTGACACATTAGAAAAGCTGATAGTAAACTACTGTCCTTAAAGGTGTAGCTACACAACAGAAAGTAAATTTGGCTTTTGTTCATAATTTTTAGCTCTTCACACTAGTACATTAACTAATTTGCTAATAGACTTTAATCGTCATTAATAGTTATGTTGTGTTTTTAGTAAATTTGGTTTCCTTTTTGTTCGGACCTTTACAGAAAAGTATTGAAGAACAGGGCTGGTGTCTTACCTGAGGACTTCTAGGAGACTTTGCATCTGTCAAAGGAGATGGGAAGAACATTGAAAATAGTCAAATAAATCATTTTCTTTAAATATTTTACATTTTCTACAACAGGTAACATCTCTTTCATAAGAAAAACTCTAATCAATCAAAAAGAAAACAAGTAATACTAACTGGAGAACTCCTCCAGATGGCAGTGTTGACTTTGTGTTGAAACCAGAGCAGTATGTAACTCTACCACATAGAGGCAATGCATTTTATGTGTGTGTTTATTGGCATTGATCTTGTTGTGTCGACAATGTTCACAACGTGTAGTTAGTGTCAGTGTCTTCCTTACTTTCTCTGAGCATGTCTTTGCATAACTCTTACCTGGGACCTGTTGTCTGCTCAGGGCAGCAGTTAGGGCAGTTTTGACCTCAGTGTTTCCCGACAACTTGGCGTAGTGTAAGACATCGTGGCCTTGCGAATCTACAGCTGACATATGTGCTCCTCTCTGAACCAAGACTTCAACAACGGACACAGCGTTGGACTCACTGGCCAGCATTAAGGCTGTCCTGTAACTCAGAAAAGTAGAAATATTTCACCAATGTGACATATATCCATAATTTAAGAACTTAAGTGTCTTAAATCAATCATCTCTACTGTTACACGTATGTAATTTCTGAATTTTCTGGGTGTCTTGACTGTTTGTACCTGCCACTGTTGTCAGAAGTGTTGATTTCAGCACCGCAGTCCAGCAAAGTGCTGCATACTTCAGCATGAGCATGTTTGGCTGACAACAGCAAGGGGGTAAGCCCATCCTTTGGGACAAACAGACATTACAAACATTAGATATGCCTGAAACCAACCTGTGCAGGGACCACAAACCAACATAACTACACCTACATAACTTATCTTGTGTGACATGAGGACGTGGGCCTAGACATGAAGTATGGGGAGTGTCTGTGTGGTGAGAGAAATCCCAGATCCATGTGAAAAAGGAGTGAATGTCTCCTAAATGAATTTCCCAGCAGATAAACAGAAAAGCCAAAGTTGCTCCACTTTCTAGAGCAAGCTTTTGGGAAAATCCCCCAAATGATATATTTACAGTTCTAAATGAATAGTCTGGCTCAGCAGAGTTTATTGCCCTGAGTCAGGCAACTAGGGCAGCATTTAATGCAACGTAGACATCCCACATTTTTCAACAGCACTGACAGATCCTAACCCCAAGCATGACATTTAACCCAACCTTAACCATCTATGACCTAAATCTAACATGAACATCTGATTGGCTGGGGTTGTGGAGGGCGGTGTACAGCCTGGAAGGAGCTGCTGCCCAGAAGGCTGCATCATCTTCAGATGACATTAGAACAGATAAGGAACTCAATATTAAAACTGTATGTGTACACATTTTTACAGGTCATTTATATTGTTGAAAGGGGAAAAATAGTCAGGTCCAACTGTAAAAAAGCTAAAGAATGTCAAGAAACAGTAAAGTGTGTCAGCACAGCTTTGTGTTTTATATTACAAGACTGCTGCTTCCACATGCCACAGAGAGCAAAACTATGTTGTGGGTTCCTCTGAGCTCTGCTAAAGACTTTAACAGCCCTGTGTCTGCTCTGCTCCGTCTGTGTTTCTACTGAACTATTTCTTCTCTGGAATCTAAAAGACATAAACCATTTTCCTCTCAGAGATTCAGTGTCTGTGTGGGTGAATACGAGAGCACGGATGTATATATGCTTGTCCGCATTTGTTATTGTTTACAACTTGCTGCCGTCTTGTCAGTTTAACACTAGACTACCAAATTTGGAAAACAAGGTAAAGCCTGGGCAGAGCTGACGTGAACAAAGTAAGCAGCAACCATCACAGCCAAGTGTGATAACTTGAGAGGCCTGTCAATCAAGGCAAACACACACAAGCATGCCCCTGTTTAAAGCTTAATACACTCCTAATGAGACAATCATTTTCTAAATTCCCACCCACAGACACACGGGAGGAGTTGAAGTTGGCTTTAAAACTTTTAAGAAATGTAGTTTGTGATATTGCTTCGCCTTGTTGTTCCTGTGCAACGTCAACTGACCATGTATTATAAAAGTATATATAGCATTTACTGTTGTTTTTAACTATTAAAGTTGGATGGCAATGATGACCTTACAGATACCGCACATGCAGGTCTCTGTGTGTATACAGTAACAGCCGATGTGTGAAGTACACCATGTGACAGACTAATTTAGAAAGGGCATTTCTTTCATACCACCTCTTACTCATGAAACATGACAGGAGAAATAATTGAAGTGGTTGTTGTTCCCAAATGAGTGTGCTAGCTCTATCACTTTATGTGCCGCTGAATAAAGAGTGAGGGAGAATATAAACCAGTGGTTCTCAACCTTTTTAGCATGCAATGCTGCTATGTCTATTTGTGACCCTTCATCACATGTTGCATATGTCAATGAGTTGTGAACTGATGAAACAAAGAGTGACCAGATTGTTTAATTTAAATTATTTTAGAGGCCTGAGGAGATAAAACTATCCACAAAAATGAGGGACCATTGCTAGAAACTCCATTTGAATACAACTAAACTTAGTAGCTCAGTACTGGTGGAAGAAATCACTCACAAAGCTACTTCCTGGTATGTGGATATCCTGGACCAGCCTAGAACTGACTCATGCCTGTTAAACTTTTACCATACTGCAAGAATACACATGCACACTGTCATTTTGTCTTAAGGCTGTGATTCACAATCAGAATACAAATATACATATATTACCCAAACCACAGCACATTGTAAACTGTGTTTATTCAAAGCTCTGTAGTTGAGCTGATATATACACTGTATACTGTAAGGAACTTTTATACTACATAGTACCAGTGTCTCCGAGCAGAAATTAAGTTTACATTTTCTATAAACATTCTTTGTTCGACACATGTAAGTGCTGTAAGATGTTCCTCTTGTTCAAATATAGATCAGGTATAGATGTTTGATAGAGCCATGATGTATGCCTGAGGCCAACAAGCTGGCAGGTTCCACTTAGAACAGAAACAGCAATATGTTCCAGACGACTTTGTGGTCTATACGTCCACCAACAGCAGACAAAGCAGGTCAAATCTCACACACACATTTGCAGATTATGTCTATGTCATCTCACATGTATAAAAGCAATAACATGCAAGTGTGGAGAATAGGTAAATCTACATTTTGCCCATGCTGGCTACAGTTTTCTAAAAGCAATGATTTGGACTGATTCAGAAAAAATATTTGAAGATAACATGTACCGGTAAATGTCACAAAAAAATTCCTACCATGTCTGGTTGGTCCTGCTCCAATCTTAGAAACCCTGTACTTGAGCTCTAAAATCCTTACAGCCAGTGGTACAAAGTGGTAGCATGAACCAGTTTCAAAAGCCACAACATACAACTTCTCACAGGCTTAAACAAGCATGAAGCAGCAATAAATTTTAATTAACAATAACATAACCTCTTTACATGTAGGCTAAGAGACCACTGTGTGTGTGTGTGTGCGTGTGTTTATCTCTAACAGACCAGCTGTGGCGTGATAATAAAAAGTGAAATAAATGGGCAACAGATTCTCTTCTCTTCTCTCACTTGCCCTCTTTTTGTTTTCTCACACACACACACACACACACACACACACACACACACACACACACACACACACACACACACACACACACACACACACACACACACACACACACACACACACACACACACACACACACACACACACACACACACACACACCAGTTGAGTGAAAACCACAGGCATGGTGCGTCACTGCAATGGAGACCACATGTCTGCGGCTTGAGAGCAGAGTTCCCACAGTACGCTGACCCTCTACCTCACACACATTCACACATACACACACAATGTACAATATTTATCAATCTTTAAACAGAGAAGGACAAACGAGAGGAAGTGCCAGTTAACGAGAATCCTTTACGTTGTAGATTTACAGCTGTAACAGACAGCTGAAGTTATTTTACCTCTGCTCTCTTAAAAAACTTGAAAAGCACATACACGGATGTAGACAAAACTATAATAAGCCAAATAAGATATTTGACAGCAGATAGACACAGAAAGCATCCTGTTGCAAACACAAGAACAGCAGACAGGTAATTCTTGAAGACAATCCAAAGAACACAAACAGTGATTAACTTTCCTTGAACACACTCTCTGGACCTAACACAGTAGAAAGTGATATGAATGAGAACTGAATGGAGCATTTCTGTGGTCTTTATTCGGATTCAAAAACCCCTACTATCCTGCCAAGAAATATCTGGGAAAAGTCTGGGAGAAAAAGAAGTAATAATGAAAGTACATACTGCATCTTTCAGGTTGATGGGACTTTTGAGTTCACACAGAAGTTGGACGGTCTGGATGTTCCCACTGGATGCTGAGGATGAAATAAACAACAATCAGACAATGAAAGGAAACACACAGCTGTCCAGAGATTGCAGAGTGGGCTAGGTTTGAATTTAGCAAGAAATGTATCCCTCTCTGATTTCCAAAAGACCAAATTAAAAAAAAAAAAATAAGATGAGTTACAAATGCCTGGACTGTCTACTTTTTCATTAAAAAACATAAGCAGGGTTATGGTAGCTGTACTGTAGTAACACAACACTGCCTCTACTTTAAAAGTGCAACACTGATAAAACTTCCAACACAGCCATGTCAACTAACATCAGCATAGTAACACAAACCGAAAAGCAGCTTAAAAGAGAGTCGCCATATTCAGTGCAGGCAGACGTTGTTGAAAAACATTATTTTTGGACAGAAATTGGCAGCCCCATGAAAAAATAATCTCATCACTCAAGAGACAGTGTAGCATTTGGTTTGAATGAAAACCTACAAGAGTATTATGGGAACTTTAATCACTTAATTCCAAATATGGTAGATGATTTCATCCAAATAAAATTAGAGCTTAAACTTCATATCACAAGATATTTTCCCACGTCCTTGTCTAAGCAGACTAATCTTCAATAAAAGCACTTTTGTTTGATTAACTCTCAATACTGAGACACTTACCAGCATGATGCAGAGCAGCCTTTCCTGAGCTGTCTACAGCATCGATGGGGCATTTACTCTGGTGAGGAAACAGAAACGTATTAGACGTGCAAATTAATGTTACACATGAATTGTGAATGATTATGAAAGAAAAGTCCCATTGTTAAATGTCCATACTTTTTGTGTCAGTAGTCTGTGACATGCAATACATCTCATTGCTTGCTGTGATTACATTTAGTCTGTACTCTCCATCATCCTGACGCAGCTCTTGTTAATTTAGTAAATTCTTACATTTCCCTGAAGGAGTTTTTTCAGATAATGTGCCCCACTATGTTCCAAAATGTGTGCAAATTATTCTCTAAATGCATTTCAGGCTACTGTAGAGCATGAGCAATAATGTTAGTGGAGTTTATTTTTTGAGGAACTGACACCAAAATCTGTTTACCACTGCTGCTTTATATAGATGAAATGTTTATCTGATAATAGACAACACTGGAAATGCACTGGAAACACACATTAGCAGCAAACAACATATTACTGCATTTTTTAATCTTTTCTCCCCATAGTATGCTAGTAGTGATGACCTGCTACAAATTTTAGGAATCATCGCACTATTTGTTGCTAATAGCTGTTGGTATTTGGTGCAACTCCATGTCTAGTGAAGACACAAAGGTTTGTTAGAATGTGACAATACAAATCAGTTTGAGGCACACAGGGCAAAACTTGCTATGTGTACCAGTAGACTTGGATGGATGTTTGACCAGGCAGGTGTGTGTTGCTGAGATGCTGCAGACTATCATGGGACAGTTAGGTCAGCAGATCAGAGAAGGAAGAGTGTGTGAGTGTGTGTGTGAGTGTGTGTGTGAGTGTGCGTGTCTCCTCCTGCTGAGAATTGCTGATTTGCACACACATACACACACAATCAGCAGCCTGAAGGAAGTAAAACTGTCTGGTTTCAGACATCTTAGGAGAATAGTGAGACTATTCAGAGTGTAGGTTTCATACGGTTCACGCTCCTGCTTTCACACATCCCTTATTTGCTTCACCAAGTAATGCGTCGAAGAAGAAGTCCTGCTGGGTGACTGGATGCTCTGCCATTAAAACATTCTTACTTCCATATTTGTTGCACTTTTTGTTCTACAACACATCTTGAAAACATTTCACTGAGCCAAAAATACTGCAATTACAAATATCTTGCAGTATCTTATCCCTGTGGGACCATATTGTGCGTAAAACGCATGGCTTGATAGATAAAAGCATTATTTTTACTGCATTAAATATGATTTTAGAGATAAAACTCACAGTTTGTAACTTATAAAGTCTCCTTCTCTTACCTGAATGAGCTTTTTACAGCACTCGATGTGATTGTTTTTGGCTGCCAGGTGTAACGGATTGAAACCTGAATATAAATCAATAATAATTAAAGAATTTATTGACAAATTGGATAAAATTGAAAAAACACAAGAAAGCAATTTAGAAGGTAAAGTGCCACTAGAAAGTATGAATTGCCAAAACCAACAAACCCCAAATCAAACATGTAACACAACAACATTATACTCTCACAGTGCATGACAGTACATACCTGCAGCATCAGTGATTGTCAGGTCAGCTCCATGGGCCAGGATGATGGATAGACAGACTGTCTGACCACGTGCAGCTGCCACATGAAGACTACACACAAACCAAGAGAAAAGAACAAATTACAAAATTCAGTTATTGTTAGCTGTAAAGTCACAACAGAGATTTTTATACAACTACTCTTTCTTTACTAGTTTCAGATCAGCGTTAGAAATCTCATGACAAAATGTGCATCTCCAGTGGTGACCACACTGTACTGGTGAGTGTAAATAAAGTCCTTCCACTAAAGTAATCAAACCTACTTCTCCAGATTTAAGACAACCTGTTTGGTTTGATACAGACCCCAAACATTTTTACATCATCATGAGTTGAATCATGAATAGTTTTTTCAGTGAAAATTAAATTTGTGATGCAAAAATGATCATTCCCACATTAATCGTGGATCATATCACAATTGCAATATCTGTCAAAATAATCGCAATATGATATTACCATATCATACTTGAAACAGGAGGAAACAGCAAGCCTGGTTTTTAATCTAAAAAAGTAGCTCATTTTTTGAATCTTTAATTGTCTTGGCCAGGTGCAGTGACTTCCTGAATTCTCTAGGAAGTCACTGCACCTGCCCAAAAAATAGTAAAGGACACTGTCGAACCACAATTTGTAGTTTTTACACTTCATTGCCTGCTTGTGCGTATGTGTGCAGGAGGCAATCAATACAACCCCATTCCAGCTCAGCGAGCAGAATGAAAAACACTGCACATGCCCAGCCTTCCCTTGGTGTGTGTGTGTGTGTGTGTGTGTGTGTGTGTGTGTGTGTAGGATACACACTCTCACACACTCACAACTATGCCCACATGCCTTTCAATCAGGTTTAATCACCATAGAGATACCGTAGACTCCTCCTTTGTGCGTCCTGAAAAGATTGGAGCGTTGAGATCCCAAACCACCACATTCATCATGATTTACAAAGGCTGTGAGTATGCATCTGTATGTGTGTTTCTGTGTTCCAGTTACACACAGAGAAAAGGTCAAGGATGTGAACTACCAGTAGAACAAAAACGCCTGTGTGTTTGTTGCAGCATGTTGAGAATCTGTGCATTCGTTTTTTCCCTGCATTTGCTCCTGTGTTTTGATCTTCCTGGCTCTGCGTGAGCTGCTTAACACATTGAGGTCAGTGGGTGTTGTGTTTCAGAAAAAGAAAGAGGTCAAATATTAACACTGAGCCTCTGTGTTATCAGCAATCTCAATCGGTGAGGCAGCGGGTTCCACCGCCTCTGGAGAAATAAAATGACTCTCAAAACACTCAATGTCCGAGAGGCTGGCTGAATGGTTGAAAATGTCAACCCTTCAGGAACGAAGAAGAACACAAGTATTTTTAGATTGGCCATTCATTTTTAACACTGTGCTGTGGAGCGTGAAAGTAGTTTCATAAGCCCAAGAATTTGAGCATATGCTGGAGATATATGAAAGGAAACACAAAAATCTCCATGACTGGATGTTTCCCTGAAATTGAATACACCCACTTTTATTTTACTACAATCAGACCCTTTCTTATCACTCTTTTGTTGCCAAAGTGTGAGCCGTTTAAATAACTGCACCACATTTAACTAAACAAGACAGCAAAGTGGAGATTTGTACATCTTATTCTACTCTGGTTACTCTTGTTTGGTTTGTAGCCTCATCAGTGTAACTGAATGCAAGTCTTTCTGTTTTCACTGAAGCTGCAACAGAAGCCACTACAGGCTATTGTCTCTGTCTCTGTCGATTAAATAATGTGCTGGAGTAACTTTTTACAGTAGTATTTATGATTCTGATGTACTTTACTGTTCCCATGAGGAAATTGGGGTCAACTGGGATTCATATACTGATTACAGAAAGACATAAATTAATGTACAGCAGAAACATGTGCTAAAAGGACATTTGATTGGTAAATCTGTACAAAAGCCATTTTTGTTTGAATTCTTTTGTAGATAACAGTATGAATGCTTACGCTGACTTTCCCTCGCTGTCCAGCTTTACAGCACTGGCACCTTTCTTGGCCAGAAGCGATGCCACCTTCTCCACCTCGCCATGCTCCACTGCAGCAAGCAGGCGCTCGTCATTTTTGTTCCACTCATTGACCTATAGAGGATGATTTGGGGAAAAAAGGAGAGAAAGACAGAGAAAGAGGGAGAATGAAGGAAAAAGAGAGGAAAACAAGGCAAAGCATTTAGGTAAGATAAAAAGCTGATATCAAATATAATCAATGGGGAATGGGAAACCAGGAGGTGGAAGATATATCCATGGTTTTAATTCTAATAAATTATCTATCTCTAATAATGTATACATTCCTCACAATGACGTACTTGATCAGACATTGACACCCATATTAACAAATCTTACTCTGCAGCCAAAACGACTGAGATGCCCTTAATGTGAGTAATGTTTCTCAAAGGGAGAGAATGTTTTTTTGGCTCTGCTGTAGCCCACACAAAACATTTGTGTCCATATGTGGGAAAACACACACAACACACACAACACACACAACACACACAACACACACACACAAAAGCAACATCCAATGTGGGTATGCACACTGACTCACACATACACAAACCAAATGGCCCCCACATTTGTATCACTGACAGGCTGTTCGGTTATTGGAAAGATTCAAGCATGATCTCATACAGAGACAGTGTTCCTACACTGCAGTCTGAAAATGCAGCACAATAAGTTTCATGTGCTGTACACTACAGAGTTTACCTCTGGCCAGAAACTAAACTGTATAATAAACCAAAATCAGGAAAATCAAACCAGGATAGTAGTAGTAGTCTGGTCATAAACATACAGTATAACTGCTCATTTGAATTACTACTTATATTAAAGACAGATTAGAAAATGTGTTTAAAGAAAGAAAGAAAGAAAAACATGATAACAGAGTAAAGGGAGAACTGAACCCGTGCACCCCAAACATGTTGGAAGCACAAGTTCATCAGTCAGCTCTCCTGTACGGATTAGTATGCAGCACAGTATTAGATTTGACCTGATAGCCTACTGACCTACACGTGAAAAGGGTATGAACTCTGTGACTCCATAAATACTTGTGGTGGCAAACTGTACCCTATTTTAAGAGTGCAACAAGCCACCATGGTGATACATGCAATCACTGCAATACATTTTGCACAGCTGGTGGAAAAATGCAAGGCTATAAAAATCCCTTCTGTCACTGGAAGAGCTAGTATGACCACTGAGCTCTGCAGCCTGAGCCACGTAGTCATTAATGTGGACCAGTGAGGAAATAAAAAATACTAAATTGTTGGTGTTTTGAAAACATTGATGACTGAGAGTGAAGAAACATTTTGGTGTTCAGGCAAGGAGCTGGTAAATTGAAAAAAAAAAAAAAAAAAAAAAACACCCACACACACATACTTTTTGGCATACAGGCTTCGAAGAACTGAAGCAATAGGTAAGGTACTATTTAGGAGGCGGTGTAAGATGAGAAAGTTCTCAGACAGACTGGAAATAACAGATTGGATATACAGACACTGAGCTGAGCACTGACATGTGAAAAAGATATATGAATCTACCAGGTGCCCTACCAAGTCTATGATGGGCAGTGATGGGCACACAAGTATTTCCAAGAATATCCAAGACCAGTTTAGAAATAAAAAATAAATAAATGCAGGATCAGGGAAAACCTTCCTTTACAACACATGTACAGTGGTAAGAATTCATTAGAGAAAACTGATGAAAACACCGGGATATGAGATGTAAACCACTTGTCAGTGCTGTTGGAAAATCAGCTAACAATGTGAGTTAATTTGAGTTTTAAGATTCTGGTTGCACAATTCCTATATTATTGGAAATGTTAGCAATACAGCCAGCATTAGACCTTTACTAAATAGCATGTTCCTCGGTATCCTCCAGAAACACTTGCAACTGCTGTGTTGAGCAAAGTGTTAACTAGTCAGTCCCAGTTTTGTTTGTATCATATACATGCACAAGGATGCACATATATACATAAATACATACATGTACCCAAGCATGCAGGCAACCTGATACACATTCACTTCCACTAGCTTCACGCTACTCCACTGACTGGCAGTTGGTTGTGGTAATGTGCAACTAAGCGTAGCAATGCACCAACAAAGGTAAGTAAGAAGAACACTGCAAGCTAGCAAACATAGATGTAAACATTGCACAATTTTAAATAATAAAAAAATTGGTTGGTTGTGCAAATGTTTCAGTGGACGAATATACATTTCACACATTTGTTAGGCCTCAAGGATATACAAACAATGCATTTTGGTGAGAAACACTAAAAGAAAACACCACAGGGCACCTTTAAGTTGCAGTGCACTGCACTAAAGACTCCACTATACTATACAAAATTGTGCATGCAGACATACCTGAAAACAACACAAATGTAGTTGTGCATCGATGAGGTTCATTACATGGACAATTTTGCTCTGATTTCCTTCAGACAATAGTGTTTTACCTTTTATAGCATTGGTGGGCAACCTTGCATGTCATGTTCGGCATATTTTAATGAGTGTTGCAAATGTTTCAACTGTCATCTACTAACAAAGTTGATCATTAGACAAGAATAGGTGGCTTTCCACTTCTTTTCAACAATTTCCTGGGGTTTGGAGAAAAACATTCACAAAGGTTCTGTTGAAGTTGGTAGGTAAAGGAAAGTGGAACAGAGAAGTCACTCTGACTTCATTTGCATCTGTCTGACACTATGATTGGTGTGCAGTGAAACATGACACAGCATGAGAAAGCCTAAGCTATAAAGGACATGTCCCATATGGTGTAGTGGTTAGGATTCCTTGTTTTCACAGAGGTGGCCTGGATTTGCCTCCCAGTATGCTGGTATAAAGTCTCATGATTTTCATACAGCCAGTCATGTGTTGCTCAGTCAGTTTGCAGGGCACTGAGGCAAATACTAAAAATAGGTACACTCAAGATGATAGAGGAACTGAAAAAGATGAATATACTGTACAAAACAGAGGCTTAACTGAAGAAAATGGAAAGAAATATGTACATATGAATCTACATATTGTTTCTGTTGCCAAAATCTTCAAAGACAATGCAAAAGGAACTTGGTCAGTGGTTTGTTTATATTATTCAACACTGTATCCAGTACTCTTCTTATCATGTTTTGCGGACATCAGGAAGGGTGGAACTTGCTGCTGTAATTGAGTGGCTTTATGATCCGGAAACAGCGGCAAAACAAACCCACTCCCGTACATGACAGATTGAATAACAGGCGCAGTCACATCTTGCAGAAGGTGAGGAGTCCCTTAATGTTAATTGAATTTAAACCTAACTTGTACGTTGTGCGTCTGAAAAATTCTGTAACTTATCAGATCTCAGAAAGTATCATAAATAAATCAGAACAAACTCACTTGGGAATTAACATTCTTGATACTGACATGAAAGGGTTTCCAACTGAGCTGATTAAAATAGATTAATCTGAATCTTCTTATTTCCTGTATTTAACCCTGAAAGTGAACTCTACATTGCATGTATCCGTCTACATTGCTTTGACTGACTGGCCACTTGTCAACTTTTTTTCCCAATTCATGTTTGGGGTTTGTTCCAGCTTCCCTGGGACCCATCTGATCAAACTAGACTTTTCTAGATAATTTAATTCTGCACCCTTGCCTAGTCCAGGTTGAAAGACTACTATGAATGTATATATTTCCTAATGTCTCAAATAACTGATAACTATGCAATGTCTCAGAGACGTTTTCCACACACTAGTCTGCAAGAGGACAGTAGTAATATCTCGGTTCCTGGCTTCCACTCAAGCAGCAAATATTTAATTCCTGGTATGAAGGAATTTTCAGAGTTGCTCAATCAGACGAGCATCTCACAAATGATACTGAAACCACAAAAAACTGGTACAGTACCTGGATTTATTTAAGCTACAGAAGTGTGCTGGGAAAATGCTTTTAAATGCACAATGCAATGAAACTACTACCAAAATGTATCCTTAAGATGTACCTACCCGAGATCTACCGGAGGAGAAAGAGCAGAGTTGTCATGAACAGTGGTCAACCACACAAGCCTGTCCAACCTAAGAGGACAGTAAGAGGAGTAACCCGGCAATTAGAAAGTTAGAGTGCCATTATGGAGACAGAAAACCAGAAACAAGGTATGAGCTAGTGCAGCGATTTAAAACTAAGGTCCAGGGATCTGCGTACTGTACATTTTCTTAGTTCATAGATAGCTTGTACTATCATTACGAGTGAAAACCAGTTCTCAGTAAAGATTTGTTCATGCTGTAGTTGGTTGTCAGTTGCTTTGAATCATGAAACTGCAGAACATTTAGGGCAAAGACTGGGGAAGGAAGGCCCACTACACTGTCTTCTAACAATTGCCTTCTGGGCAAAAGTTTCACTCTAACAGTACTCAACTCTTCAAAAGCTTTTACCTTATCTGAACCTCCACTATGTCTACAGAGTAGAGTCAACACTGCCATTCTCATTCAAATTATTCTATGATTCATTATAAGTTAGTTTCATATTGAGCAGGACCCCCTCTGTGTACACTGAAGCATCACACTGGTCACTCTCGGCAGTATGGCACAAAAGCAGACATGTACATCTGGGGCTGCAAATAACCATTATTTTCATTGGCAATGAATTTGGAGATTATTTCTATCCATTAATCTTTACTATCTTACTAACAGTACAAAATCCAACCCCACTTTTTCGACTAATTGGCTCGTTGCAGCTTTACAAATATCCATAATGTAATTATGTGTGACTTTTCTGGTCACAGTAAATAGATTGGGGGTCACTCTTTGATTCTTTAACTGTAAAAGTAACATCCATCCAAAAAATGACAAGTTTACAGTTGACATCTGCAGTGAATGCTCCTATCGTGGTCTCATTAACAAGAACAGCATGTGGGAGAAAAACTGGCATGGACTTAGAACCCCTACCAATACAAATACCCCCTTACCAGCAGTAATATAAAAAATTACGGGGGAAACACTGATGTACTGTATTGCATGATCCTGCCTAATGGCCTCTGTGATTTTAATAGGCTACACAAAAAATGAAGGGCTGTCACGATAGAGCAGCATGACACCGATAGCATTAGACTACATTGTAATGGACAGGTTTAAGTGGAGCGGAATGCACTGCTCCAGTTTCGGTCACATACACAAATAGTGTCATTGCAGGGAGGCTGATGAAATAATCATGTTCTGGCAGAGTTGGTGCAAAATCAGCACGGACGGCTCCAACAAAAAGTGATTCAACAAAGTGTATCAAAAAAATGTCTAAACAAAAAAACTTCTGAGCACAAACAGTAAACTATACCAAACAGTGTACAATACACTGGCAGTGCATCAATAGGGAAAATATCCCTAAATTAAATGACAATTTGTGTTTCCCCCTTGTAGGCATATGAGCACTCGACAATAAGAGATCAAATTAAATGTTGGTTTAAAGATATTCCTGCAGTGTAAAATAGCTGCATATAGAAGAAAGGTAGGCTACATAAGTAACTGCAAGATGGTATAAAACTAAATATGTGGTTCTGATGGGAAAGGCTTTATTGTGAGGGGGAAAAGGTGTGGAGACAAGTAGCTGATTTTTAATTTAATATATATATATTTTTTTAATTTAAAACACACTGAAAAAAGTTATATTCAGAAGACACTTTTATTTCATTTTTATTATGCCAATATCAGTACCAAAAAAGACACGAGCTGAACGATTAGTCCACAGAAAATCTATCAAAAACTATTTTGAAAATCTATTAATCAATTTCCACCTTTAATGAAAACAAGTGTAAGTTGCAGCCCTACTCCTCATGATGTATCAAACACAGCTATACCAGTGCACAACACATGAACACTAAACAACAATATCTGCTTGTATTAAATACTGTAGGCTTAGCTTACATTGGTTTGCACTGGATAGGATGGGTTTAACCCACATTGGTTTGGTTAAGTCATGGGTCACTTATCCTGATATTATAAAATCAGTAACCACTGTTGTTCTGTGTGTACCACTAGGAAGTGAAAAGGATCTCACTTCCTCTCTTGCTTTCAGTTTCCTAGACTGCCCCCGTCTTCTCCAGCTCTGTCTTATTAGTCCTGCCTCTCTTTCAGGTTTTTGTGCTGCCATAAGTCTGTTTACATTGGGATCAGGGTGTGGACTGTAGTGTTGGTTCTGTCTTTAGCCTGACACTCATTAAGACACACAAAGAGTCGGCTGATAACACTAAGTGTTTCCTGTTTGTCCAGGCTGCAGGCTGGCTGCACGGACAAGGGCAAGAGAACAAGGAGCAACAGAGGTAAAGGGGTAAGGGAATCAGATTTATTTGACTATATAATGCGTGTTTCTTTACAGTTATTTTTAATGAGTGAATCCTTACCTCCCTCCTCTCCTCCTATGTCTCACAGGTGTTAATTTATTTCTATTTCTAAGTCCTTAAAACAATTTGTGGAAACACAACCTCACAACATCCAGTCGTGACTACAGTTTTAGAATAACGTGCAAACAAATCAGATGCACAACAAGTGTGTATGTGACTGTTTGTTAACCTAATGGTTTTTGCATAAACATATCTGCCAAGAGGGTTTTTTCTACTTCGCTGAACTTCCTCAGTTCTCTGAAGGAAAAACAAACTGAGATTGGGAAACAGTAATTCCTACATCACATTCTGTATGTTTATAGAGTTCAGCCACTAAGAGAAAGTGGAGTTTAACAAAAACACGTTTACTTTACAAACCCTTTAGTATTTCCCTCAAAATACACATTTTTGTCCCGTTTGCTTTAATGCAGCTACTTAAACTTCACATATAATGTGGTAAAAGCTTATACAACTAATTTAAAACTAACCTAAGCTTGACCTGATAAGCCAAGAGCCGAGAAGGCCTTTTGGCTCATTTGTTTGTCAATGAACATACATCTGAGCTCTTTGTGAACCCTAGTGACACTGAAAAAGGACACGCATGTTAAGCAAATCCTTTCCCAGGAAATCTAAAGATTAGGGGGAAAAAAGTCAAAAGCAAAACCAGGACTATGCAAATCCACAAGAATACCATAGAAATCCAGGAATTACTTCTCCAGATGCCTTGTGATAGATTAAAGTGTTGTTTAAGGGAAATATGACCTGGCACTGGCACCAGACTCAATGGCAATAATACTCTGGGGATGAAAAGTATCCCTAACAAATTTAATGGTGATCTGGAAAGTAATTGTCAAGACATTTTGCTTTGGATTGAAGTGTTGAACAGATCAATCAACTACAGGCCTTGCTGTTAACTGGGCAAGAAAAGCAAAACAGAACAGAAGGGAAGTAAATGAGGAGTCCACTCACTAGAAGGCTAAAACATGGAAAAGGAAATAAAACAAGCCAAATCAGGTCATGTCAAGTAGAAAGTGAAAAACCAACCAATGCAGCATAATATTATTAGGTATAAACTACAGAGAAAGTATTTTCTTACTCACAGGTTCTCAGAGAAATGACTAAACACAACATGAACACACAACGTTATTCACTGTTCCAGTTCACACACTAAACCAACTAACCAACTATTGCCTTTCGTGTCAATAAGAAGTACATTGTCTATGGGATTTCATGCAGAGATGAAAGATAAAGCTAAATAAATGCAGGACGAAAAGTAGGTTAGATGGAAGGTAAGACACACAAACAACAACAGACTCCAGAGGGGAATAACCTCTATACAGCTTACAAGAATAATCTTTGTTTGAGAGAGTGGTTGAGAGACAGAGGAGGGCAGTATAGGCAGGAAGTAAAGGAGAGGATGGAAGAGCGAACAGTGTACAGAACAAAAAGGAAAAGAAACAGTGAAGGAGAGACAGCTTGACACATAGACAATTTCTCTGCCCTTTGATCCGTAGTGGCTGTTAACTTCAAACCCCTTATCTGCAACAAAGCAGATGCTCAAATGTCCTCAAACAATACATCCTTTCTCTCGGGCCACAGCTGAAACCGCTTACTGCCCTCTGTACTACAAACACACATCAACACGAGAACACACACACACACACACACACACACACACACACACACACACACACACACACACACACACACACACACACACACACACACACACACACACACACAAAATAGTTTACTAGACTCTGAAACTCAAACCCAGAGTACGAGAGTTAGTAGACAGAACTGTTAAACAAAGACCAGATGGTTGCTCTCATAATGGAAGATGTTGCCATGTATTTCACAATACTACCCAATCTGGACCACAGGTTTAGATAATGAAATCAACTTACATCATGAGAATCTCATTTGGCAACTTCTAAGTGGTTGGTACAGTCAATACATTGTCCATGTATGAACGTCAGGCACTGGTGTAGGTAAAAGAGTATTCCATTGAGTTAGCATGCTGTACAGATCGTAAAGCCCCTTAAGGCAAACTGTGAGGCTTTATACAACTTTATTCACATATGCAGTAGTACTCTCCAAGACCTGTAAACAGACTGTGTAAAATTGGTGCCTTTCAGACACCAATGAGAGCCAAGTGGAATTGCACCTCTATTAACACCCAATGTCTGCCAAGGGTGCTTCTTTACACCCACTTTGCCAATATCCGACACTGCCATGGAGAATATCTGTGCCAGTGAAACACTGATGATTAATCACATTCTGAGGAAAAAAAGGAACACCTCATTGTTTAAGGTGCTTTGCATAGAGCCTCTACGGCTGTAGTTCAGTTATTTTTAGCTTTCCTCCATTTGTGTTTATTAATACTGAGAGTCATTTAGCATTTACATGGATTTTTCTTGGAATGCTAAATGCAGTGTGGTGGAGACATGCCACTCTGATGGAAGTACTGTGTGCCAAATAAGCACTGTGTTCATCCTTCACACTTACAGTATTTGAAAATAGTTTTGTCCTAAAGGTGATGAAACTTTTTATAGACATAATATGATCTCATTACTGTTTTAATAGTCTCTCTCTGCCAGAGAGGAAATAAAAAAAACAAAATTGTCATCACATCATCCATCAGCACCCCCTTGCCCTCTCTTCACATCAGTATCGAACCTTAAAAACCCACATTAGTTGACATTTCCCCCTGACCTCTCTAATTACCTCTTATTTTACTGCTTTTCTAGTGTTCCTCTCATATACAACTGAGGAACACTATGAGGTCACCATGACTCCTCAAACTGAAACCCACTGGGCTCACATTATTGTTAAATGTGACAGTTAACGTAATTTCTACAGTATATTAAAGTGTGTTTTGCTTACTGCACTAAAGGCAGCCATCTTGTTAAAAGAGGCAAAAAACAATGAGCCTACTACATATACATACAATTTACTGCACAGTTCTTTTCACTCATTGTACTTCTTTTAAAGTTGAAGGATTGATGCACAAGTCTGGCGTAGGACATTTATGGGTGCAAGAAGACCTCCAGTAAAAAATAGCCCTTGTGCAACACTTCCTCCTGACACAAATAGCCTTTCCTGCCCTATAAATAAACATTGTTGGACTTGGAAAGCAACCAGCCTCATTACGCTCAAGGGCTGCTCATAAAGTCAGTAGAGTAGGGCAAAAATATATCCCTAATTTCAGTCAGGATAGGGAAGTTCATGCACACACACACACACACACACACACACACACACACACACACACACACACACACACACACAGATATCAGTCAGCATGCAAAGAGTCAAAGTAGGGTCAAATAAGAAATATACAGTTACACAGTCTCAGATCATTCCTTTGAACTCCAAGGACAACATTTTGGGCAACAAATCTGAAACGGGAAACCGTGTTTGTCTGGCTGCTCTACATTAAAGTTGTATCCATAAAACTGTCTGTCACTTTCATCGCTTTAAAGACTGAACTAAAAACACACCTCAAAAATGTTTGTGAGCCAAACCAGGTTTTGGGAGTACAGTGCAAATCAAGTAGAGCAATGCCAAATGTCTCTCATGAAGGAAAGTTCTTAAAGTTTTTTCAGGTGAACTGAGTCTAACCCTCCCTCCATCCATCTCCTAGCATGAATATTGTTCCAGTTGTTCAGCGTAGGCCAAACTAAACAACCAGTCTGAAACAAACCGGGGGGCGGGGAACCTCACTGCCTATCGCCCAAATAGGGTTTCTCGCCTGCTCAGTTTCTTTCCCATCATCCCCAACCTTTCCTCCTTTATCCGGTTTTTGTTCCTCATTATTCCTTCATCTTTGTCTCTTTTCTCTCACTTTACAACCTTTTCCACAACCTTTCATCCAACTTATCTGCGTTCCTCTACAGTATTTCTCTGGTGCCTCACAGCTTTACTTAATCTACATGTAGTCCTGAACCATGTCAACACATGGTGAGTTATGCTACACTGGATGTACAGCCACAGTTTTCTAAAGAACTTTAAACTGCTGAATACACTTTCAATAAAAAAAAGTCCCATAAACACAAATACACACACATACGCACAAGGTAGCAGACAAGCACCTTGCATCATAACCAATGTCTTCACACCCACACCAGACAATAAACAAGCCTAAGCACAAACTCACGCCCACACATAAAGGAGCATGCAATCACACACACAGACACAAGGATCACACCGGCCTGCTTTTAGGCCCAGTGCTTCATGTACTTGCTGATGAGCAGGTTTCCTGGCTGTTTGTCTGTAGTTCATGCACACTAGCGATAAGGGTTAAAGAGATCCCATGGGCACTTCCTGTTTTAATTGGATCCATGTTTAAACAGGCTCTAAGCCATTTTCCTCTGCCTTTCCTTGAATTAACTAGTTAAGGTCTGTACTGTTTTTAGAAGTGCTTCTGGTCAAACTCAAGGGTGAAGCTTTAGGATAAGGAGCACAGTGCTAGTGCAATCAACAGCCAACTAATGGTGGCAACTAAAGTAGCAGCAGAAGTGGACTGGCCATACATGCCACATAAGCTCCTAATAAGCAGGTAGTCCACTAATCGAAAGTCCCACTGCTGTGAGTGGATTATGTTTCTGATTAATCCACCTTGCATAGCCTCTGCCATCAGTGTGTGAATGTGACATGTAAAGGTTGGATTTAAAAATGGATTTAAACTATCAATTATTAAAACCGTTGCTAATTCATTTTCTGTCGATTGACTGACTGATTAATCGACTGATCGCATCAGCTCTAAACCTAAGCCATGGCTTCACGTGTGTGTGATTGGCTGGTAGGTCGCTAATCCTCCTGATAATCATGATCAAATCAAACTGATAAATGCTGTGATCCTTACTTTCCCTTCTCTGTATTGGTTACATATGTATTTTTATATCAATGTTGAGACTTACTGCAGTTTCTCAAGTGGATGTCGATATAATCTGAATATCTAGAGATTAAATACTACAGTAAGTGTGAACAGGGCTGTAGTTTTCCCCTTGGAGTGCTGTACTATCTCCTGCTGACAACACAGACACACACACACACACACACACACACACACAGACACAAACACAGACACAGACACAGACACGACACACACACACAGACACACACCCTTCCTCCACCTCCTCTCCCAGATTAATATTGGGCCGTCCCAGAGGTTTTACTGTCACTCCCAGAACTAATACCCTTTCACTACGCCCAGCCAGAACAAACCATTCCATGCCAAACCAAGTCAGACAAGGCCAAATCAAACAGAGCCAAGTGGATATACTTCAGGCTGTGCTTCAGTTAAAAAGAAACATTCTATAATTGAAGGACTGCAGCATTATTGTGTTACTATATAATGTTTTTTATTTATTGACTGCAGTATGTTTCAACTTACATGAAAAGGGTGGGGTGTAACATTTTTCTCTAATGGCTACACCCTAATGTACTGAGAAGGAGGGGAAATATTATGGTTTACGGTTTTCAACCACCCAGACAGTGCACAATGCATTATTTAGAAATGTTTTCAGATGATCAGCATGTGATTTTCTTTGCAGTGCTGCTCCAGTTAACACAGCAGACACATTTCATAACTCCTGATAAGAAGGACTCCATTACTCCAGTATTTACACACTCTAGCTAAATAAAGACTGCAAAACAATGCATGTTTCCTTTTCTTTGTAAAAGAGAAACTAAAGTCTTGATACCAAGATTGATACTACGATTTGTGTTTTATCCCACCGATCTGAATCCTCACATTTTTGTATTGCAATTTAACTGTCTCGCGATATATCTTTACATTCCTAGTCCAGACTAGGATAAGGTCCAGACCTTATCAGAGAAACAAGCTGAGCAAACGTTAGCAGCAGCTCTACTGGCAGACCCTCCGATGTGTCCTTTATCCGCCTAACAGCACCGGAGAAACACTGACTTATAAGGTGAAACTGCTTTATTCTGTGTTTCTGTTTTTAATCACCAGATCCAGTTTGTTTTTTTGTTGGAGAGGAGGAGACCTCTGCGGGTAATTCGGCTCCCAGTAGAAACCTCCTGAACACTGAAGGAATGCTAACTAGGAGAAGCTGACTGCAGTGACGGCAATGGTCGTGAAGACAACAACTCCCATTATCCCACACTACCTCACGACGTCATCAAACTCCGTCTTTTATTATTGTTTCGACGTGAGAGACCCATTGGCAGCAGAAATAACACATTATATGTTTAGTAAGTGCCAAAAATAGAGCAAACCGTAAATGTAGAGTTTAGTCTCCAGTGTCATGTAGCTCAGATGAATTGAAGCCATGAAACAGCTGTGTGGAGTGAAAGGAGACAGCATAATCCACACATCAATTAGACACAGAGAGACTGGATGATACGGGGAGGGTGTGTGTGTCTGTGCATATGCTGTGGATACTGGTCTCAAGCGTGTGTGTGTGTGTGTGTGTGTGTGTGTGTGTGTGAGAAAGAAAGAGCATGTGTGAAAGCCTTGAGTAATCCTGCTTAGTCTAGCAGCTGGGGGAGCAGGTTTAAGTAGTGTGACAGTATGAAGGGCTGGGTGAGGGTTTAATACTAAAACTACTGTCAACAATAGAATACACACATAATATTTAACAAAGAATGTGCAAGAGTATGTGTACAACAGCACTGCCAGGAAGTAGTGTGCTTGGGGGATAGTACTAAGGGGCTGAGAGTAAGTAAATTAACTAATTTAGAGCAGCTCTGCTCAAACAGCAGGGACAGGGTCGTTAATGTGGTCTCAAAGGGTTCAAACACACTACAAGATTTAATTAAGATTTCTCAAACTAATTACACATGGCTGTTCTTTCTAACATTAAGGCTGTTTCAAGGAAACCCGAAGAAAAACTATTGTGCTTTCAGAATGATTTTCTACTATAGAATATAAAATCACATAAGCCGCAACTTTATGATTGAGCTAAAATGTGTGACAAAACAGCATTATAACAAAGTACAGTAGTGCCGCAGAGACCAACAAATCTTGTTTTCCAGATGTTAGAAAACATGTTGGTTTGGTACAAACCCCAACAAATGTCACATCATTATAATTTTTATGTTTTTTTTCAGTGAAAATTAAATTTGTGATGCAAAAATGATCATTCCCACTAATCGTGAATCATATCCTAATATCTGTTTTTTTGCCATATCATGCAGCCCTTCTACAGTGTAATTTGCATTCATGCGTCATCTTACTTTGCTATGGCTGTCTGGACACCTCTGTTTCCTACACATCAAAATGAAGCGAAATTGACTGAACTGGCAAAACTATTTCTGACAGCTGATGGTTCAGAATGCCTCTAAGTCTGTCTGTGGCTGTTCGCCAACCCCATTCCCAGAAACCAGATTACACCGTCTGCTTGTCTTAAACACTGCTCTCACACACACACACACACACACACACACACACACACACACACACACACACACACACACACACACACACACACACACACACACACACACACAGGACCTCCCTCATTATACTGACTGTTTGGCCAAACAGGCTTAGCCAGAATGATCCACAAACGAATCCCAAAATGTCAATCATATATTCCAAAGACAGACACACACAACCAGAAACACACCAAATCGACAAGTATAGCAACAGACAACAACATTTCAAAAACCACACACACACACACCCCCCCCCCCCCCAATTCACGTTGACCTTGCATAACTACACACCTGCTCACAGTCTGATAAAGCAACACTGGTGTTACTCCCTTTTAGGTACAGGCATGCACAGAATTTTGGTGGACAAAATTTAATGTGGAAAAAGTCAGACGACAACACAGCCACAATGATCCCAGTGCAGAAAAAATGCTGTTGCAAAATCTGAGAGAAAATCACACATAATGCTTTTGTGCAGCAGTAAAGCTGTTTAATATTAAGGATGGAAATGCATGAGCATTTTAAGCGTAGGCAGCGTTTTCACATTACTTAGCCTTACAGTGCATTCACAGTTCAACGTTTGAGAATGCCGATCTACTTAACCTGGTGACACATTCTGCTGAGTCTGCCTGACTGCACAGTTTTAGCTAGTTTGCAAGTATTTTTTACAGCCAAACATATTTTCATATAACAATAACATATACTGGAAGGTAAAAAAAAAGATTTACAAGCATACCTCAAACATAATGTGGTAAGAAAGGTCTTTTTTGCAAGACTGCAAGAGATTCATTTTTAGCTGCCAAGCATTAAGACTGGTAAATGTTGACCTAATTAGCACTGCTTTAAGTGCGAGTTCTAGTTCAATGTATATTTATGAGCAGCCTGCCACCCCAATTAACACTGCTATCACACTGATAATCTTCACACAACCTGACCTTCACACCTTTCCTATCATTTCTGTAGCTGACACAATCTGGTACAGCAGCATAATCAATAATACAGCTGCTCTCAAAATGAAGTACATAGCGTGGGATAAAGTGATATTAACCTCCTAACCTTAAATATTATCTAACCTTAAGTGCCTATAAAGTTAGATTTATATTTTTATACACTGTACCACATATATATATATAAGTTCACTGGTGCACAGCCAGCCATTAAACACCATCACAATGCACAAAATCATACACAAGGCCAAAGAAGAAAGAAAATAATAACCTAAAAAAGTATCATAAATATCAATGTATTAATGTAAGAAAGATAACAGTTGCACAGTGCAAAGTAAAGTGACACATAATGTGCTTATGTATTTATCAAAGGTTGTGTCTTTCATTAGCTAATGGTATGAAGGATATGATAATCTGTTGGTGTATATATATATTATTTATTTGCCTCTTAGTAGCAACTCCCTCACTGTATATTGAGTTTAACATTCAGACCACAACACATCATTTATGGCTGTACCACCGCAAAATATGATTCACATTGGGGAAAGTCCTGTAATAGAATTTCAAATTAAGCTCTGTGGGTCTGCACACAAACAGGCACAATTAATTGGAGTAATTATGTGTCTGAATCTCGGAACAGAAAAAAAAACCCAACATGGGCGTAATTAGTGACATTAATAATGGCTTCACTCTATCTAGTTTTGCTAGTTCCAGTGTCCTGATATTGTGCATGATGGCGCACTTTCATGGCTTACTGGGACAATTAAATAGAACAATCTTTAATGTTATTAGTAACACATGTGCTCTTTATGTCAAAACGTCTGCTGTGAAAAGATTTATAGAAAGGCCCTCCGTAATGCCAGAGGAGCCTATTACTCAGCACTAATAGAAGAAAATAAGAACAACCCTAGGTTCCTCTTCAGCACTGTAGCCAGGCTGACAGAGAGTCACAGCTCTATCGAGCCACATATCCCCATAAACTTAAGTAGCAATGACTTCATGAGCTTCTTCTATAATAAAATTATTACTATTAGAGAAAAATTAATCACCAACTGCCATCAACGGTTATCAGTGGCTCTCCAAGTTCAAGGACTTCTGTCAATGTAAACTTAGATGTATATTTAGACTGTTTTTCTGCTATCGATCTTCATCAGTTAACTTCAATCATTTCTTCATCGAAGCCATCAACCTGTCTGTTAGACCCGATCCCAACTAGGCTGCTTAAAGAAGTTGTTCCCTTAATTGGCACTTCTTTACTGGATATGATTAATCTTTCTTTATTATCAGGATATGTACCACAGTCCTTTAAAGTAGCTGTAATTAAACCCCTTCTTAAAAAGTCTACTCTTGACCCAGGGGTTTTAGCCAACTATAGACCGATTTCTAACCTCCCGTTCCTCTCTAAGATTCTGGAGAAAGTAGTCGCCAAAGAGTTGTGTGACTTTCTACATAACAATAGTTTATTTGAGGATTTTCAGTCAGGATTTAGAGTTCATCATAGCACAGAGACAGCTCTGGTTAAAGTTAATAATGACCTTCTGACTGCTTCTGACAATGGACTTGTCTCTGTACTTGTATTATTAGATCTTAGTGCTGCATTTGACACCATTGACCATGATATTCTTTTACAGAGACTTGAGCATCAAATTGGCATTAAAGGAACTGCCCTAACCTGGTTTAAGTCATACTTATCAGATCGTTCTCAGTTTGTACATGTTAACGATGAATCCTCCATAAATACTAAAGTTAGTCATGGAGTTCCACAAGGTTCTGTACTTGGACCAATACTATTTACTTTATATATGCTCCCTTTAGGCAACATCATTAGGAATCACTCCATTAACTTTCACTGTTATGCAGATGATACGCAGTTATATCTATCAATCAAACCCAATGAAATTAATCAATTATCTAAATTACAAACATGTCTTAAGGACATAAAATCCTGGATGACCTGCAATTTTCTGATGTTAAACTCAGAAAAACCGAAATTCTTGTTCTTGGCCCCAAAAACCTTAGAGACTCATTGTCTAAAGATATAGTCACTCTAGATGGCATTAACTTGGCCTCTAGCACCACTGTCAGGAATCTTGGAGTTATCTTTGATCAGGATTTGTCATTTAACTCCCACATAAAGCAGACCTCTAGGACTGCCTTCTTTCATTTACGTAATATTAGAAAAATTAGACACATACTATCACAGACAGATGCAGAAAACTAATCCATGCATTTGTTACTTCAAGGCTGGATTACTGCAACTCTTTATTATCAGGTTGCCCCAATAAGTCCATTAAAACGCTCCAATTAATTCAGAACGCTGCAGCACGAGTACTGACAGGAACTAGAAAAAGAGATCACATCTCTCCTGTACTAGCTACTCTGCATTGGCTCCCTATAAATGTAGAATTGAATTTAAAATACTCCTCCTCACCTATAAAGCTCTTCATGGTCAGGCCCCTTCATATCTTAAAGAGCTCATAGTACCCTATTACCCCACTAGAACACTACGTTCTCTGAATGCTGGGCTACTTGTGGTTCCTATAGTTCTAAAAGTAGAACAGGAGCCAGAGCCTTCAGTTACCAAGCTCCTCTCCTGTGGAACCAGCTTCCAGTTGTGGTTCGGGAGGCAGACACCCTCTCCACATTCAAGAGTAGGCTTAAGACATTCCTCTTTGATAAAGCTTATAGTTAGGGCTGGATCAGGTGAGTCCTGAACCATCCCTTAGTTATGCTGCTATAGGCCTAGACTATCGGGGATTTCCCATGGCGCACTGAGCTACTCTCTTCCTCTCTCTTTCTGCACTCATTCATGTCCCTTTAATGCATGTTACTAACTCCACTTCTTCCCCGGAGTTCTTGTGCTTTCTCGCAGGTTCTCATGGATCCTGGTGGAGCCTCCTGCCATGGTCCTGCTTGACTGCCATTGCCAATACTGTTGTTGCTGTGCACCTGTCTGTCTGTCTGTCGCTCTCTCTCTCTCTCTCTCTCTCTCTCTCTCTCTCACCCCAACTGGTCGAGACAGACGACCACCCACCTAGAGCCGGAGGATCTGTCCTAGGTTTCTGCCTTTTAACAGGCAGTTTTTCCTTGCCCTTGTCGCCAAGTGCTTGCTCATGGTGGTACTGTTGGGTCTCTGTAATTAATGTTAAAGAGTTCGGTCTAGACCTGCTCTATTTGAAAAGTGTCCTGAGATAACTTCTGTTATGAATTGGCGCTATACAAATAAAATTGAATTGAATTGAATTGAATTGAATTGAATTGAAAAAGCCCTAATGAGTTGTGCATTGTCAATCAAACAATGCACTGGTCCATCTAGAGTATGATACATACAAATGCATGGGTTCTGTTATTCTTGTACAGCTGGTGTTACATGGGAGGTCTGGTAGATGAATAAATCTATATATACACGTTTGAATTATGTTGGTCTTTCTACTTTCAGTAGAGAAACTCCAAAAAATGTATTGTCTGAATTGTGAAACCATCTATCAATTTGACAAATGTATCATCAAGGTGTATTATCAGGCCATATCATCCATCTCAACATTTAGCCCTTATACTGCCTGCACCCTATTACAGTAATACATCTTACTTTCTCCTCCCATAACATTTCTACCTTATTTAGGCCTCATGTTGAAGAGGTGTTTGAGTAAAGGTTTGGCTGCCTGATGCATGCAGTTCACTGGGCTGGAGGAGGATCCTTAATGTGAAGCATTCAGTAAAGATTTGACACTAAAGCACAGATTCCATTACACAATATCTGCAAATGTCTTCATAGAAAAGCTATTTATAGGCATTAAGTTTCTGCTATTTTTTTTTTTTTTTTTTTTTTTTTTTAAATGAAGGGCTGGTTTTGGGGGAAACATTCCTGGGTAATCTGTCACTGACACACGCAGCCTCAAATAGAACCAAAGAGATATTTTCTTTCTATTACGGTTGCTCTGGGTTTCTATAAAAAGCAATGGAATGACTTTTGGCTCAGGGGATAAACATGCTGGCCTCTCCATATCTTAATCATGACCATTAATTTTAATCACCATGTGTGCACTAGAATGCTGGCACTGTTTTACCCAGGAGACTACTTCACTGAAAGTTACTTGTTTTTAAAAGGTATAATGGATCTTTCTTTTAATTAAAATAATATATTATTGGACTGTATTTCACTTAAATATCTAATCTCAGAATATAGTTGGTGAGATATACTTGCAGAATGCAACAGAACAGACAATACACTGTTTTCCGATTATAGTACATAATCAATTACACATAGGGTGACATACATACACAGAGGGGGTAATATTGACTAGAACGATGGGCAGGGCTTTGCATGAAACACAAAATACACAGAAATAAACATGCATTTGCAGTCAGATCAGTTATTAAATTATGTAATCCTCTATCCAAACAAGAATGCCTTATTTCATTATATAATGTGTGTGTGTGCATGTTGAGTGCAAGAGAAGTGTTGAATTTTTAGATGTGTGACTGTGACTAGTACAGCAAAACAGTCATTTTCCTTTCCAAACTGTTTCAATGATACACAGATATGAAAACTGGGATTTATTACAAAGACAAACTGAGAAATTATGAGACATCTAAGCCATTAAAGCACGACAATGTATGTGGGTGTGAGGTCTGCAAAGGCATGCATGACTGCAAATGGCTTCAGTGTTGTTTCTAAGCAACATTCACATCCACTGCTCTTCCCTTTCTTCTCTCATGCCGCCTACGACTGGCTATTTCTGAGGACTGAGGACAAGCATTTCACTCCATCGATCTCAAACAATGTACAACTCTTACCATAACAATGCAGGTTTTGACTGGAAAACACCCAGTACAGGTGAGACAGCCACCATCCATTTTATACACCAAGGAGGAACTATTGTGACCTTGCACCCCGAAGCTGGACTCATTTTTCTAGAACAATGGGCTCTATTGTACTCCCCCACATAGCTGACTGAATTTGCAGTAATTTACTAATATTAGGTTGTGGGCCCATGTAAAATTGCAGACTGTTAAAGATTAAATCAGACACTAGGAATAATGGGTTGTTTTTTCCTGTTTTCTTTTGATTTGCATCCATGTTCCTTATAAAGTGTTTTAACAGCACGTGTATGTTCTTCAAGATGATTTATAGGTGGGTGATTTGATTTTATTCTCCACTAGCAGAAGTCTTGCTCTCTATACATCCATGCACTGCTTATGGCTCACAGTATATTCAGGCTATAATTGAGTAAAAGCAGAGATGTACTCCACCTAATTCCTCCCCTGCGGGAGAGTCCCTCGCTCTACAGAGCATGCCATATAACCAGAGTACACCATCCTGCCCTGCCACAAATTCTTAATCTAATGGAAACTGTCTACATAAACCAAGTGTCTCATTTAGTTGGCATTCTTCTCTGCATTGGCCGACTTCTCTACTTCTGACACTCCCTCCATCCCCTAAAACTTATCCCATTCATCCAGCAACCCTCCAGATTTTTCCTGTCTGGCGTTTGGCTCTGTGTCATTACGGTCACCGTGACAACAGATGAGTCAGACGCTGTGGAGACGCCTCACTTCCTGTGAGTTTAGAGTATCATAGACCGATTGAATGACTGAACCAACATGAATAAACTCCTCCCTAAAGACTGATTCACAGACGGCAGGATCAAATCCTCATCAGAAGTGGTGCACAGTCAGAGTATCTGAAGATATTTGTGGTCACAACATGTCTGTTTTAAAGCCCGTGTCATATAGCCAACACCATAAATCATGGTTTCTCAACCTTATGACCCAGTTTTTAGGTCCCAAAGTTCTCATGACACCCCTTCAATTAGAGCTGACAAGCTGTCATGTGAAATTGAGCATGGCAAACTTTTTCTGTTTACAAGAGCCTGGAGGAGGCTCTAAATGGATTACACCGACATTATGATCCAAATCTATTTATTTTATTATTCAAACGTCTTTATTTTTTCTTAAACAGCAAAACATCAACAAGCGGCAGGGTGCTGCTTGACCCCAAGGTTGAGAAAATCTGCCATAAATCATCCGCAACTACTACAGCTATACACACAGACATTGACTCAGCCACGCAGACGTGCACATGTTCACACATGGTTGCATGTACACACACTTTACATGGCCATGAACATGTGTTACAGTACTTACATCAGTTTTTCTAAACTTGGCTTTGAGGCTCTTCATGTTCAGTCCGGTCCATACAGTCACTCACTCAATCACTCCGTCAAGGCTGTGAAGAAAAAAAAAACCAGATGTTTAAGCTCAGCCTCAGTGATGTTTGTTTCAATTTCAAAAGTGATTTAGTATTTCTAAAAAGACTAAACTGTCTTATATACAATTGTGTGAAGTTCCAGTCAATAAGTTTTCATCAGGAGTTTGATCACTGCACTCTGTACTCGAGCTGTAACATATCTGAACTTTTACATTTTACTATTCCTTTCCAATTAATGACTGGGGACTGGACTTCTTACCACATGCAATTCTAATTTAAACCTGTTGCTGGAAATGGTATCCGGCTTTGTATTGTTTCCTATAAGGATGTTTTAAATCACCACAAAGTCCTTGGGGACAATCTGTGACTGTATTTTTGCGCCTTGACTGCCTCGAGCCATTTCCATTTTTTTTATGCCTAAAATGACCTTGTCAGTGATTTCCTCCCAAAATATCCTTGTGAGCATTCCAGTCAAAATTAGTCTACTTTTTTCATTATTTTTATTTCCAGTGTCCTCTGTGTCTGCGTGTATTTCAACCAAGCACCATGTAAGCAATTTGAGCCTCTGTGCAACAATTACTGGTAGGTAAGTCCTTAAGGAATGAAACTGAAACATGTATGCATTCATGAAGGTTTTGCAGACAGGGAAAGGAGTTATTCAGATGAGTCTTTAGTTTTACGTGGGCAGATACTGATGTGCTAGAAGAGGTGTACTGGTGAGTGCATCAAGGACAGCCATGTCTGGGTTCTTCTGGCAATAGTCAAGCCATTCAGATTAACAACACATTCGTAAGGCACATTTTCTGGGGACCCCTGATGAGATTTTACTCTTCAAACATGAATTAAGGGGTACAACATATAGATATCAGAAGCTAAGTAAAAAAAAAATGAGCAGAGATATCATATAAATCTGCTGTCTGGTTGTTAGGCTGCAAACTTTACTACTGAATCCATGGTGAAACTTTCCAAATAAAAATAAAGTCGACAGCAACAGTTCAGAGCACAGTTTATCAAGTAGTTAACGTTACCTGTGCATATCTGCATACTGCTACCTCAAACAATAGGAGCTGTGCATGAATACAGGCACAAACACGGATAAAGCTGCACAAACAGTGTCAAACGCGCGCGACGTGTATCATTGTATATCAGATTGAACGCTAACTGCTCACGAGACAAACAAACGGTTATTGAACAGAAAATGATGGTTTATTTCGACCAGCAACTTACTTAACTTAACGTTACATGCTGTAAAATTACTGGACACACTTACCCGGTTCTTGGTGCTGGGAGTCGCAAGAGGGCTGGACACATATATAAAAAAAAAAAAAAAAGAAAGAAACTGAGACACACAACCGCCTTTTTGAGCCAAAAACAGATTAGTTACCGAGCCGGTGAGAAAACAGCGAGCCGTTGTTAAGCTCAGTCGAGCAGGAGGATGCATAAAGGAGAGGAAAAAAAACAGCCCGGTCGCTACACACACACAACATACATACACTTAACACACACTGGCCCGGCTCGGCCCGCATACATTAAAAAAGTTGTTTCCCGGACGGACTCCTGCCTGTCTGTCGCTCGGGACTCAACTCAACGGCTGTTGCCCGGTTTAGGAAAGTGACGTCACTCCCCCCAGTGCTCTCGTGACCGCGGGCGAGCGAGCCCTCTTCTGTTCTCTCCTGCATTGTGTGTCCCATTCATGTTCTGGTTAAAGGAGCATTTCCCACAAAAACAACACACACTCACACAGCTAGGAGAGAATAAATTAGGAGTAGAATGAAATCCCTTCTTCTTCTTCTTCTTTTTTTTTTTTTTTTTTTTTGCACTTTTACTCGCATAACTTTTGTTATTTTGAGCTAGTTGTCATACGTTGTAGCTCCCATGGAGAGGGAGCTCCTAATATAACTATCACATATTTCAAATTATTTTATGTATTTTTAATTAAAGCCAATAAATCAGTCAGTTTATGTGTTTGGTTCCCAGCATATGATATAGTACATTGCTCCTCCATAAAGTTGGGGGACCAAGCAGTGGTGGAATGTAAGTACTCAATCACTGCACTGTAATTGAGATACTTGAGTATTTTCTTCCCATGCTACTTTCTTCTTCTTCTTCTGGTTTGGACTATTGATTGGACAAAACAAACATTGTGAAGGCCTAACTCTGGGTCACTGTGACAGCATTTTTCACTATTTTCTACATTTTTACAGACCAAACAATCAATCGATTAATTGAATTAGAAAATAATCAGCAGATTACGCCATAATAAAAGTAATCACTAGTTGCAGTCCTATCCAAAATAGCTAAAAATGAGTCAAATATACTATAAAATCCTGAGTAATAATAATCTAATGGTTTAAAATATAATAGTATTACAGTCAGATTGGCACTCAGTACTTTTACTTTTACTCTTAATAGAGTATTTTTACTTTTATATTTAAGTAAATGATCTGAAAATTTCCTCCACCACAGCTGCAACAGGGGCCAAGATATTCTGACTTTTTGTCCCCATGAGCCAACCTCCCAAAAGCTGGATTTCCCATAATGCATCTCAAACTTGACAAAACTGTTCCAGATCTATTCAACATTTCTTACTGGCTGTGTGATACCCACAATTAACTGGTCTTCATGTGTAAAATCAGTGTATCTCATCTCTAAGGTGGAGAGACTCTGCCAGTTAGACAAGTCATATTGATGATATGTTGCAACAACCCTACATTGAAACACATTAATGCAGGTAAGGACGTGTCTGAGCTGTAAGGCTGTTGACGCTATTTGGTAAGATGAGATAATGCTACCAAGGCCACCTCACTGTCTGAGTGTCAGTCATAAACAAAGTCCATTCATAGTGAATGCTCAGATTGCTCATGTCTGTTGAAAATATCAACCACTTTTTACTCAGTGTTCAGTGTTTATCATTTATATACAGTCTATGGTGGTCTATTCTGACTGTCCTGGTAAATATTTCCTTAATGAGTATAAGCAGTATGTTTGAAATTATGTAATTTGGGAATATCTGTGTGAACAATCAGAGACAATGTGACACAGACACACAGATGCCTGCTCATACCTTAGTGTTCTTAGCCAAGGTGTGGCCCCCTTTATATGAAATTTTGACTCAACAAGCATGACTCCACTTTATAGGCCAACAAAGAATTTGGGTTGTGACATGAAGACAGTGACATCTAGTGGAGAAGCGATTTACTACATTTTTGTTGTAAACTGTAATAGGAATAATTTAACAATAAACAGTAGGTATGTCTAAAGGTTCAAATGTATCACAGAAAAGTGTCATATAAACCATAAAAACATTAAGCTATGTGCATATGTGTGAAAATATCTGACTTGGGTAAACACATGTACTGAATGCATACACAGTACACACATACTTTTTATAATATAAGAGACAGACGAAAATAACTCATGCCAGGTGCATTATTTCTATTTTATTAAGAACCTTTAGAAAAACTGATCTTTATGGTTCTGTCTTTTCTTCAGTTAAGGGTTTCTCTAACAAATTACCAGAAAGATGGGCTACAGAAAATGTGTTAATTGGCAAGAAATTATTAAAGCTAATTCATTTACTTACTCAGTAAGTAAGGTTAGATTTTTGTGTAAAATTAAGTAGACCTACACATTGTTGGATTTACCTTCTTGGGGTATAAAATGAGCTGTGGGACTCTATTGATCCCAGTTTGTGGTCATTATTAAACACCATTGTGGACACCTACACAGTACAAGACAGCAGGACCTATTTGGGAGGCATTCCAGGTACGCTAACATTCAAACTGTTGGAGCATTAAATTGGACCATTGAAATAAATCATTTACTAGATTAATTCAAAATCTGCAAGTATTTATTTTTGTCACACCTATGCTCAATTTTTGCTTATTTCTAGTTCTAGCTTGTTTACTTTTATGAATCCAAAAATAAAGCCAGTTGTTTATCTCAAATGTGTACATACTACAGAATGTATATATATATACACACAAATAAATATATATAAATCAATAGCTTATGGCCTATGTTTAAAACAAAACCCACAAACGACCGAGAGTTCATGAATTGCGTCACTGTCATGTGATTGATAACAAAGAGTCTTTATATGCAAGAGAGATATTTTCCTTGCCTTTGTGCTTCAGCGACCAGCTAATGGAAAAAAAAACATTTTTTTGGTCAACCATGTAATGGATGTGGGAACACTATCTCATTTTAACATTATAAATCCCAACTTTCATTAATGAGACTACTCTAAATATATCCCTGTAGTGATTCTGTCACGGGTGCATGCTCCAGGAAGCCGTCGACTGTCGAAGAAAGCGGAAGTGGTAACAGGGAAGTGTTTCATTCCGGAAGTGTGTCTTTGCTTCATCGAGCAAGTTCCTGGGCCACCAAAACAAACACACACACACACACACACACACACACACACACACACACACATACATACATATACACACACACACAGAGAGAGCAGCTAATGTCAGGGAGAGCTATCTGTAGCTGTTAGATATCTAACACAGTCAGTCTGCTGTTTCACCATGCTACTGAAGTCATGTTGTATTTACAGCATCGGGGTTTGTTCTTTACTGACGCTGATCCTCGGTATTTCTCTGGTTTTGTCTAACGTGTTTCCACATTTCATACAGTCGCTGGTTAAAAAGGTAAGTTACGCATTTTATTCGGGCTAACGTTTGTGTAACAGATCATAAGATAATCGCTGAATAAGATAAAGTTAGACATTTTGGTTACGGCTAAAGGCTTGATTTGGCAAAAGCTAGTGCAGTTTCTGTTTCGCTGCTGAGTTTCATTATGCAACTTCATACGTTGAATGTTTTACTAATGACTCATGGAGGAATGTATGGTAATTTAAAGTGACAGTTGTAAGAACCAACTATTTAGTTAAACATGTTTTTTTTAGCTGTTTTTTGATTTATTGTTATGTTTTACATGTTCAAGTCACCTGGATATCTGCCATAATATTCACACCTATTTTAATCTATTCCTGCGTTGTGATCCCCCCCCCCATATACACCTCACTGGCCTACTTTTAATGTGAAATAAATGGCATATCATGACAGATCATCTAAATGATGATTTCCCCTCTTCAGCAGGTTTACAGCAATGGTGTAAGTGTCATATGATGTGAGGACAGCTTAGTCAGCAGCAGACTTCTTTGTCACCCAATTTCTCAACTGTGTAGGACAAGTTAACCCACTGCCCTTTGTCCCCCCTCCCTATAGGAAGTAGTTCTGAAGAATGGCACCGAGGCGTTTGAGGCCTGGGAGAATCCACCGGCCCCTATTTACATGCAGTTTTACTTCTTTAATGTGACCAATCCCCTGGAGGTGCTGGATGGAGATAGGCCTGCTGTGGTGGAGATTGGACCGTATACATACAGGTGAGAGAGGAATACGAGGAAGACTTTACTCTTGTTCCATCTTTTGTATGAAACAGAAGTGCAGATCTCACAATAAAAAGGAAACACAGATCTAAAGGAGAGAGGCACAAAAACAATTTGCATTTGAGACGCCCTCTCCTGAGCTATTAACGTCATATAAACAAATAAAATCCAACTGAAGATGCCGCTTACAGTTCTACTATTATTTTTAGGGTGAGTACAAAACTCGCCAAACATATTGCAGTTACGCATTTACGCGTCTGTCATCCCTCAAGGAAGAAAGGCGCCAAAAAGCTGATGATTAGATTAACAGGAAGACAAAACAGTGGTGCACATGAAAGCACAACATGCACAAACAATATATTCTACACTATAATACAAATGTTTTCATTGATAAAGATTATTAAGTTCACAAAGCTATCAATTATCTACTATCAAGAACTGTTCAAATAGATTGATTTAATAATAATGGCCATTCCCTGAACGCACTAAAGCTGCAACACAGACCTGATAGCGGTTTAAAATATGTTATAATGTGTATTTCTTCTGTCCAGGCTTTCATGTGTTTTGTTCATTTTGCTGTAAGACAAAGTGCTTACTGTTATTAATGGACAGACAATACTTATAAAACCATGTGTTTCGGACATTACTAAGTTACTGTCTACTCAGAAATGACAGTGACAGCTTGCAGAGACAGGAGCAGAGAGATATTAGTGCAGTCCTGTCTCTGGCTAGCTTGAGGCAGTTTGTTTGCGTCTCCATTTTCAGCCCTGACAGACACAGTGGCTTTGTACTGCTGCCAGTTTGTCTCACCAGGACATAAGAATTACATTCTTACAACAAATATTTATATTTTTCTTTCCGTCTTCCTTCTGTGTAGAACAGATGAGAACCGCCTTTTTTGGAAACAGTTTCATTTTTCCAGATTGTCAGTGAATGCATCATAGTAGCTGTCACCATTGCTTAATACATTTAGTTGAGTCAGGAACAGAAATAAGTTTAAAATAAATCCTTTCTTCCAGCATTATGCTAGAGTTAGCCCTTTCTCTGGAGTCTGCTGTTGTGTACATATACTGTACCTGATGAGGAAATGTATGATCATCCTATATTCATATATTTGACAGATGCACTGTAACAAGGAACTACCAACAGTGAGCTTCCTTCAACCTGAACCCAGTTGTTATGTTTTTGTACACAGAGAGTACCGGCCTATGGAGCAAGTGGACTTCCAGGATAATGGTACAAAGGTAACAGCTGTCAACACTAAGACGTACATATTCCAGCGGAACATGTCCCGAGGTCCAGAGAGTGACCTCATCAGGACGGTCAACATCCCTGCTGTGGTGAGTTATTAGTGATGTTTGGTCGTACTATTTTCAGTCAGAATTGTATTATTTTCTAGTTTTAATTATTTATCTTATTGGGCAGCAAAAGAACAAAATGATTGTTTTCAAAATTATTTATTAACATTTATCATTCATATGATGCATGTTTTGAAATTTTTCCTAAACAAACTTTACTTGACACAGACATGCAATAGTTTAATTGCACACTTTACAGTTAGCACAAGCTATCTCGTTGTTTTTATCTAACAATCTCATTCTGTTCTCTCCAGTGTTTACATTTGTTTTGCTTTAATAGATGCGATTTCCAACGTGAACTGTCCTGTGTGGGTTGTTGTTTACATTCCTAAAGCAGCTACAAGGAACTTTGATTTTGTGTTGATTCTGGCGGCCCCTGTGGAAAAAAGCAGTAGTGTTTCTACTTTCTACTCCTTTAATCTGAGTCGAGGGGAATTCGACCCAGTGGCACGCATTAAGAATAACTATACAGAAACAGTCAGTCTTCTGATTTGTAGGTCATATAGAGGCAACAGTATTAAATAAAGGAGTTTGTAGCACGTTTAAGTAAATTATTCCTTCTGTTATGTCGTCTTCTTTATGGAACTTATGCAGTTCAGCGCTTTACACAAGTCGTCTTTAACAAGATCCTTTCCGTTCTTTCTCCTGGTAGACTGTGATGGAGCGATTCAAGGACCATTCCATTATGGCCAATCTGATCTCTTCCTACATGAAGTCCACAGGTGAAGGCTTGTTCACCACCCACACAGTGGGAGAGCTGCTGTGGGGATATGAAGACAGTCTGCTCAAAGCCCTCAAACTTGTACAACCTGACCTGGATGATGTTTTCGGACTCTTCTATAAGGTCTCATTTAAGCATAAATGCATTATTGTATAATTTGAACGGACTAGAGTGTGTTTATTCATAAAAAGGTACTAAAGATTTCAGATAATTGCTCAGAAACTTTATTAGAATCTTAGAAAAACAAGAGTTTCTGATTAATTATAAAAGTTTAACTGGACTGACTATTCACTTGTGGTTTTTTTCAGCTTTCTAGTGTAAAAACATTCCTTTTTTTCTTACAGAACAATGCTTCCAACGATGGTGAATACGTGTTCTTCACCGGCCAGCAAAACTACAAAGACTTTGCTAGAGTGGATACATGGAACGGTGAGAGGTAATTGTCTCCAATCACCTACAGCACAAAATGACAGTGACTGAAAGAGAATTACCTCTTGCTCTGTAAATCCAGTCAGTGATGATAATTGATTACGTGCAATTTGAATGGGTGAGAGTTAGATAACGTGTGATTGTATCAGTACAACACAGGAACATGATCAAGGCTGGTTTCATCCTGCTTGATATGACACTCCCTCTCTCTTTGATCACAGCCATTCATGTCATAAAGCTACACTAATGTTAATCCTCTAATTTGCCCTCGGAGATGCTCTTTCATCATTTTCTCTCTTTTAACTGTTTCAGACTCTTGTGTTATACCTAAACTTTTAGGTGTAGTTTTGGGAAATACACAAATTTGGATTAGAAGATCGATACCACCCTCATTTCTGTCAGTTAAATATGACGCAACAGCCAGGAGACGATTAGCTCAGCATAGCCCAAAGACCAAAGTGTCAAACTATTCCTTAAACACACAAAGGACTGCTGTTCTGTGAAAGCAGCTTTAGCCAAGCTTTTCCTGACCTACAAACATTTTCAGTCTTGTTCTACTGCACTTTTAAAACATTTGCATTTTTTGCCTAAGTGCTACTTCACAGTCCTTTAATCAAGCTGATAAATGACAAGCATTAAAAAAACATTTATAATCTTATTTTCTGTGTGTATGCTTGCAGCTCGCTGAGTTGGTGGACATCTGATGAGTGCAATATGATCAATGGAACCAACGGAGCGTCTTTCCATCCAGTCATCACCAAGAATGAGACACTCTACATGTTCTCCTCTGACCTGTGCAGGTGAGTTTTACAGCCCGCTAAGGACCACGTCCATAAATGTGACTGGACATGCACCAAGTAATTATACATATTTATGTTCTCACATACACTTGTGTTAAACATCCGATGACCCCTCACACTTGACCCCAGAACTCATTTGGGTTTTCCTTCTTTCTTTCTTTTTTCAATGAGGTTTTGTACAGAACTGACATTGAAAACTTCAGTAACTGAAAAGCTGATCTGGATTTCGTTTTTATTCTCTCTTTTATTTATTTCGAATGTAACTTGAGTAGGAGACAGTTTTGTACACTTCAATTAATTTATTGAGCACAAACTCTTTAGCTTTAGGTAACATGAAATTGATTTAAATTTTCGGTGTACTCTTTTATTCATTCTTTTTCTGGTCTTATCTGCCTGGCTTGAGTTGGCTAGTGAAATGGCTCAGTCATCCTAAGAATGTCTCCCTAAGCCTTTCCCTTAGCGTTATTCATGTCTACATACTGGATTAAGGATACCAATTTAGCCTGGCTGGTTGCATGGCTGCTCTGTTGGCTTACTACCTATTTAGTGCTGCTCAAAACAACTAATATCAGCTCTCTTTGACTGTTAATACATCCAAATTCAGAGTGCAACATATGCAGGTCAGCTAACTACCGAGGTTGTTGTGAGAAGGCTGCCAAGGTTTTCAAGGCAGTAACATGTCAGAGACCAGATCTTTTGGTTTTCTGTAAATCAGCTTACCACAGAGCTCATGTACAAAATTCCCTCTTTTGTTGCACGGCTTTACAGAATGTATTTGTGCCTGGAATGATTACCCAGCATCTGGCTCTGTTTCCAAGGTCTCTGTATGCTCTGTACGAGGAGGATGTGACCGTGAAGGGGATCCCTGGGTATCGCTTCAGTCCCCCTAGCATGGTGTTTGCCAATGTGACCGTGAACCCAGCCAATGCAGGCTTCTGTGTCCCTGCTGAAAATTGCCTGGGCTCTGGGGTGCTGAATGTCAGCCCATGTAAACAAGGTGTGTTAAGCATCTGGTCTGTATGGGGAAAAATCATTTCACATAGGCAAATGTGAAAGGCAGTCTTGGATGTTTCCTATAATATCTATATACATTCTAACTGAATCTCTTGTGTGTTCAGGAGCTCCGATCATTATGTCCTCACCACACTTCTACCAGGCAGATGAGAAATTCGTTCAGGATGTATTTGGCATGAAGCCTATAAAGGAGCAGCACCAGACTGTGATTGATATCAATCCGGTAGGAATTTCAGCTTTAAAAAACCTCTCTAGACCCTTTTTAAGACATATAAACATACTCCACTTGGAATAATATTTGTGTCTGGTATATTTCTTCTCTCCAAAAAAGTTAAATTAGGTTAAGATGTACTTTGTGAACATGTTGTAAGCCTTTCTTTACTTTATGCCCACTTGTTGTTAGTATAATTCTTTTTCCCATGTAGAAAAATAAGTTGCAATAAAGAGCTGATATGAAAACCTGAGGTGATACTTATGTTTACCACTAGGTGGTGAACTCTCTCAGCTAGACAGTGGTTACCCACAAAGCAGTGCTTCTTCTTCTTTCTTTTTTTTTAAAACAGTGGTTAAAAATTAAAGCAGAGGTGCATGGAACAGAGCTGTCACCAAAGATAAGCTCTAACAGCTCTTATCATGTGTAATGCTGTAATAACTTGGCTGTAGTAAATCCTTGATAAATGAAATCCGACTGAAAAAAACACTTACAAGTGCACAATGTCACAAACGCTTCTTTTTTTAAAACAAAAAACTGTATTAAAGAACATTTAATTAAAATATTCTTTAACATGTTAAATAATTGAATAAGAGGGAAACAATTACAGAACAAAACGAAACAAAAAAAGATATTGCTGACAACAGTATTTGACAGATGAAAATAAGGAAATAAGTCCTGGAAATGACTTTCTAATGGTCCACCTATCAAAGGTTTTTTGAACAGTTGTAAAATAGCTGATAAATTGCAGATAATAATTAGCCTTTCTGCTCCTGAATATGACACTAATTTGACTTCTGCAAGAAAGCAGATGGACTACAGAGACATTGACAATTAATAAGTCAAGATCTAATTATAAGTTCTGTTTGAGTCTTTCTTCCGATTGCTATCTTTCTTTGGCTTTTGGATTTTTCTTTGACTTTATTGAACTCCTCTTTTCTCGCTGCAGTCCATTTTTTGGTCTGCATTGATACAATTTGGATCTAGTAAACAGAAGCTAACCCAGCATGCAGCTGTGACACGTACACTTAACTTTCATTCTTAGTCACGTCCACCTTGTTAACACTTACTTGTTAGGTGGTAGCATCGTGAGTCTTTGAAACCGGTAAACAAGCTACTGTTTTATCTGTTTATCCTCCTTCCTATACAGTAATCTTCACTGTGCCACTGCATGAGATTATTGAGATTGATCAAAGTCCTGCGACTTCTGTCATAAATATTGGGTTGCGGTGCCCTGCACAACACTGTAAACCACTTTTCCCGCCAGCTCCAGTGCTGTGATTTCCCCTAGAGCCGCCTACAATAAAGATGCATGCAGATACATCTTTGTTCCAAAATTCACTTGTGTATATGGAGTATGTGTGGGTTGCCGTGTTATCTCTCAGATCTTTTCTGCCTACCAGAGTCATAAAGTACATTTACTGAAAAATGTTTGCAGCAAAGAGATGATAATACATAGTGTCTTGAAAAACATGTGTAATTGATGCTGAAAAGGCTATAATGAGGCATAAATGTTCACACATCAGGAGTGACGGGGTGTGAGTATAGTTCTGCACACACATCAGAACTGTTCCTCCTAACTTTGTGTTTCCTAACAACTTTTAACTCTGTTTTGCAGCTAACAGGAATAATCCTGCAAGCAGCAAAGCGACTCCAGGTCAACGTCAATGTGGAGAAAATTCCCACCTTCAGGTAATCGTCTCATTGCCTTCATCAGTCTCTAAATATTCTCTATGTTCTGCACCTTTTTGTCATAAACTGGGATGTCACCATATTGGCTTTGATGAAGCTGCAGTCTAGTCAGTCTAGGTAGGGTTACCAGTAAGATAACTGTAAGGCAATTATGCCACCATCATCTTTATGGATGGACTTTTGGACAGTCGCAGCTCACTTGTTATGTATCTACTTGGCATCTGAAGGAACAAATATAATCTTGAGTCCAGACTGTACAGGTACACATGTTGTCTAACTATATGTAGACAAACATTTTCAGAACGTCTCTTTGCCATTGATTCATCAAGTCATAGGCGAATGTTCAGATCACTTTCAGATTGTGATGCATACTTATGATAGTAGGTGAAATAGTGTGATTCATTTTCTTTTTTCTTCAGTCAAACAGGAAACGTGAGGACAGTGGTCTTCCCTGTGGTTTATCTCAATGAGGTACAAAAACACACTGTTTGGTAATTCAGTCATGTACTGAGCACTGGTTGGCACACGGATCATAAACTCCCATCAGCAATCCAAATGCAGCCACATTAAAAGGGCAACAAGTTCCAGTCACCTTGTTCACACTTGGTTCATCCGTCTGTCTGTCATGGATCGTGTCTCGTTCATAATATCACAGACATCATTAACACGATTTCGAAATGAACATCTCGTGCCTGTGTACTTAGTTGAAACCAGTTTTTCAGTAGAAACGTGAACTTTAATCAGAACTGATAAGAAGTACTTACTTTGGACATTTTTGTACCACTGAACTGATAGCATTGAAACATTTTATTTTGAAAGCCATCTGCAGTATATTAAGTTTGAATTCTCCTCCCTGAATATCAAGTTTTGTCATTTCAGAAACTAGATTTGTTTTTCAGGTTTACAGATTTACAGGTCATCTTAATCTGTCAACCCTAAAAAAAACAACCACTTAATATCAAGTTTTGGAATTTGTACAGGGTTCAAAGGTTTTACTCACGTTGGCACTTGTTATGGCAGCGTTTTTTGGAAACACTTTTCTGTCTCGTCATTAAATTGTTCAGCCGACTATAAGTGCACTTGCACATGCCACAGTAGACTGCAGGGGGAAAACGGGTTGCCCTACCCAACTCTGAAGGGGCTCCATAAAGGAGGGCCACGGCTTAAAATAAAGTTAAATAAATACAGAAAGTCCCCATGGAGGAATGCAAGAATGAGAAAAAAGATCGACAATAAAACAGTGATGATACTTAAATTAAATTGTGAGTAATGGTGATGGCTAGTGGAAGCATTTCACTCTGCTACTCAACTAGCTACTTGATTAAATGAGCAAAATCACTCAAATAGAGCCATTGTGAACTTAACAATAGACACTAAAGAAGGGCGTCTTGCCCGAAAATGTCCGTGTGGCAAAATTATAAAAGTTGAACGGAAGTCCTGTCCTAGTTCTTTGCTCATGAAAATATTTCCAGGCCACACAGACTAAGAATTGAATGGAAATTTAATAGTAGCTTATTTTTTACAATTATGTACCCCTTTCTGTCAGCCGTGATTTTGTACATTTAAAATTAAACAAAGGTCCACAGTAATCACCTTAAGGACCTCTTTTTTTACCTTACAGGGTACTTTTCTGCTGAAATGATACCCCTATTTCTCAGTGTGCCCTTTCCTGTCCACCTCTCAAACTTTCCTGTCTATTAAACCCAAGTTTAGACATGAAATAACACAATAACAGTTAATATAAAAGTATAATGTTTAATGTGACTGTACCTCTAATTTCACTCTCTCGCCATCTTCTCAGAGCGTCGTCATTGACGACGCCTCAGTCCTGAAGCTGCACGCGATTGTTGTCAAGCAGAATGTCGTGGTGAACATCCCGTTCATGCTGATTGGTGTCGGCATCATTCTGGGAGGAATCTTCATGTTCCTAATGTGTCGACAAAAGATTCCCGAGGTGAGCTGAGATAGACATTGATCAGGTTGTTTGGTCATTAGAGCGGCAACGATTATTTTCATTATTGATGAACCTGTTGATTGTGTTTTTCTTTAATCAATTAATTGTTTAGTCTATGAAATGTAAAAAAACTGGACCTTTAATGATATAATGGCAAATTAACAACGCCATTGTTAATGTTAGATATGTATGGGTGCCCGGTTAGCTCAGTGGGTAGAGCTGGCGACCCATGTACCGAGGCTGAGTCCTTGCTGCAGCGGCCCAGGGTTTGAATCCAACCTGCAGCCCTTTGCTGTGTGTCATCCCCTCTCTCTGCCCCCCCTTCCTGTCTATCTTCAGCTGTCACTATAATAAAGGCAATAAAAGGCCAAAGAAATATACTTTAAAAAATAAAAGATATGTATTATTGTAAATTAAACAGTTTACGTCAGTGAATAGACTGTTTTTATGTAACTTTTTATGCCTGGTTGCGTTTTTCAGAGCACTTCTGCTGAGCGACAGCCCCTGCTCTCATCATAGCACCGAACAGGATGTGAAAGGAGGAGGATTGCCACATACGCAGTATCATTCAACAGTTCATGGTTCAGTCCATCAGCAGTTTTTACCGTTAACCTAACCTGTATTGCACCTTTTAATCTGTTTTTTTTTTTTTTTTTAAGCGAATGGTAATCTAAAGGCAACAAAGTGAAGTGGAGTGAGTTGTTTGTTACTGGATTGGTTTTAATGTCTTCCTTTCAGGTCAGTTGTAATGATGCTAAAGATCCCTGTTTTTTTTTTTTTAAATTGAGTGTATTTCTCTTTTAACTTCTAAATATGGGATTTTTGATTCAAACAACGTGAATTGAGTAATTTAATATCTACCAAATCTAATTTGAATTGTCTGGAGAGTCAGCTCTGAACTAATCAAACCTCAAAGAATTCAAATGAAAATTTTTAACTTTAAAGCCCGTATTTTTGTGTGAAATCGATGTGTGTGTGTGTGTCAATAAGACAAATGGCTACACAGCAGGAATACTTACGAAGAAAGAATACTGTCAACAACATCCAGCTGTTTTACTAGCAAACTACCAGCAAAGTGAATAACAAAGTCAAGCTTGCACTTCCATAAGTTTATCTTAATGTATGAATTTTTCTTCCTAAAACGTATTGTTCCAAGAAAAGGGTTGTCATTTTGATATCTTTTGAAGTCTCTTGGTTTGTCTGGGTCTGGAGCAGCATGAAGGGAAGAGTTTTGCCTGGTATGGTATAATGGTGTCTTGTATCATGAAGCAAATTTTTCTCCTCAGTCCAATATTTCGCCATGAGCGTGTGATTTAGAATTTCTACCGATCTAAAGTCAGTGTATGAACTGCTTCATGCAAGTGACACTACTGATACATAGTTTGCCAAATAGAACAACCCCTATTTAACCACTATTGACTATATGTCATTGTTCTTATGCTTAAATGCACTTTTAAACAGCATCAGATCATAATCAGATTATTGTGACTTTATGTAAAAAGGGAGGTTTTTATTGGACTTCAACTGATAAGATTTGCCTGTTCTTAAAATGCAACTGATTTCCTTCCCAGCACTACACACAGTGTAACAACAATGTGGGGTTTTTTTATGCAGTTTGAATAACCACTGTTTCACGCATATCACTGACAGGTCTTGTTAATATTGTTATTGTCTTATATGTAAAAGAGAATACTGTTTACACTACTACTCCATAGTAAAATCAATATGTAATCGGTGTTTACATACTCTCAAAAGGTCACACATTTAACAATTTTCACATTGTCTTGTCAACTTCAATAAACCTGTTTCACATTCTCTGAAGGAAGTTTGTATTTCCTCTATCACGCATAATAAAGTGCTCTATTACTACTTTTTGTATAGAGGTCACCAGTACAGTCTTATGACAGTTACACCATCTGACTAATTTATTATAATCAGATGTTGAAACTTTTCTATTTATACCTGCACTTACTACACACACACAGACAGACACACCCCTGTTGATTTCAACAGATGTCTGTGAAAGTTGAACAGTACACTGTAGTATTTTGAAAGACTGACTTTTAGCCTAAATTATGACATTTTTATTGCAAGTTGAGTTTGAAACTCAATTTCATGAAATGTTCTTCTGTCAAATAATATTATTGTGTTCTATGCTAATAGTGGCTGATGTAGCCTCAAGCTGCAACCCTCAAGCAGAGATACAGAGCTCCGTAAGCCCACTTCTTTCTCTACACCCCCAGCTATTCTTTTTTTCAAACTGTTATCTAGCCCCAATCAACACAGCCTCAAGTTAAGATAGCACTCATGATGATTATAATATAAATAAAGTTCACAGTTTTGAGTTGATGCTGCTGACTTATTAGAGTCATAAGAGACTAACTTTGAGGTTGAAATATTCTTGTTTAAAAATGAATAGATGCAAATTATGGTCAATCCAAGTTCTTCTCCATTTGTCTGAATGCTTGTTAATCTATCTTTATTCAGGGAGGAGTTTTGTTGGAAATACCTATATTTGCTTTTTTAGTTAGATGCTAAATATGAAACTACAGCGAGCGGGTGATCAGCATAGTTTAGCATAAAGACTGAAAGCAGGGGACAGCTAGTCTGACCGGAGTGGGTGGAAGAGGAGTTCAGAGAATCAGTACTCTGCACCTATAAATTTGATCTAATTTTGGCAAACTTTCACTTTCGCTGGCCAGAAATTCTCATTATCAGCATCCCGAGGACCTTTAGCCTATCTTCAGTAAGGTGGCTCAGTGTTAAACAGTCACATCTCACCATGGAGGTCCTGGGGTCAGATCTTGGAACTGATTCTTTCACATGGATTTCCTTCAGATTACCCCCACAGTCCAAACCATGCAGCTCACATGAATTAGAGAACCCAGGAAAACACTAACCCTAATCCTTAAGTAAATGGGTGCATTTCTGCAGTCCATGACACATACAATCCCTACGTGGATCTGTCCTCAATTACCGGGTTAAAGTGTACTTTGGTTCCCTGCAGATAAACTTTGACCTCAGCTGTCATTATAAAACTGATAAGTACCATTGTACAAAGACGTCTGGGGCGCTGGCTGGGGCTCTGACTTTAGCTTCTCTGCCAAACCACAGCCTCTGTCATTAAAGCAGCAAATTGGAGAATTAATCATTCATATCTATGTAACTCCTCCCCAACCCGATTAAAGCCTTTAATACAAGTGGAACATGGGACAACACACCAGCCCCGCCACAGAACAGCCTCTCTCTTGAACTTGATCTGCAAACAGCATGAGGACTCTTCAGGAAAGAATCATTGTGCTCTCCATTTTTCTCTCTCTGATCTGCACCATTCAGGTAAGTTAATAACCCTGCACTCACTCTTTACGTCCTGAGAGTTTGCCTACTCTTTGTCCAAATAAAAAACATAATGGTTTTTGATTGCATTTGATTTTATCACCGTATATTGTGATGGTGATCACATTTCTTATATTTGTCCTTACAGGTGAATTCTTTGCCTGTACCTCAAGACTGGAAGGGTTTGCTCCAACGGACCAAGCGGTCACTCCTGTGGCGCTGGAACAGCATGAAGCCTGTGGGTGCCAGCTGCAGGGATCACCTTGAGTGTGGTACAAAATACTGCAGGTACAGCAGAGCTTCTCAGTCATCAGACAGTTGGCAGATATAGGAAACTCAAACATTTCCAGCCTGCATTCACAGACAACAGTCAGATTGTGTAACTGTCTAATAAATGTCATTTTAGGTTGGTTTTTTTAACTTTAATATCTGTATCTCTTAACGTCATTAATTTGAAACCAGATATATTCTTCCAAAGTTCATACTGTGATATTAAATAGGCATAATGTTCATAATGTTTACACACGTTCTGCAATAATATGTCTCTGCTGTCCACGTGTATTTTGCATGACATGGACAAAGTCAGAAATTAATGACACTGCAATAAAAGTTGCTCCTTATCTTTACAGGAAAATATCTGTTCTTTCTGGAATTCCACCTGATGACGAGACACGCAAACATAACTCCATCAGGGTGACTGTCTACAAAACAAACATCTGCTTTCAGCACCAAAAGCAAACTGTCTCTAAATGAACCCTGTATAGAATTACTGCTCTGATAATCTGGCTTTAACTGAAGACCCGCTGGCACTTTATCAGACTCTGTGCATTTGAAGTTATCTGATCTGACTCGGCACTGCAGAAAAAACAAAGTCATAAATGCTGCATTCACATGATGAGTTAAATGGCTGCATCTAGAGTGATATTGATTTTTAGAATTTAATTTGTCTAAAACACTAGCGGGACATCCGACAGGCTGTATAAATCTATGTTTTTAATAAGAAAATATAAATATTCATGCAAAGTTTTTTGAGGTGCTCTGAGTTTATTGGTTTATGTTATTATTACATATTTATTTGTACATATTGTAAACCATGTGAATATTCAAATATACTTCAGTTTTCAAGAGGTTGTATTGCCCAAATTTTGTTTGTCAACAAGTTCAGAAGAAATTAAAACAGCTCCTAAAGCTGTTTCTACTTTTTCAGTACAATAGGAAAATATGATGAAAACGTGGATTTTCGTTGGTAAAAGAAGACAAAAATTAATATATTTTTTTAAGTACAATTAAATATTTCTGTATTTATTCATCCAAGGTCATGTGATACTGTGATTCATAACTCTTCATTGACCAAGGGACGAGCTTTGTCTCACTGCTTTTACATGTTTTGAGGTATTATTCATTTTTTATTGCTGTTTTACAATCAAAAGTGCCTAAAAAATCTACAAATAAATATATATAAATATTACCCATCTGTGTTGAAAAATAACAGGAAACTGGATATAGTTACTGTGTCAAAGGTCCTGGAATTTATAGTACGGTTGGGGATTATATGGATTTTTTGGACCATGTTATTATGGCAAATTATTCGTAGTTCAGTGGTTTTCAACCTTTTTGATGTCAAGGACCCATAAATTCATTGTTAAGATGTAGGCTCAGGGGTCATCCTTATACGTTCTCTCATTGGGCAAACCTTTAGCCAGTGAAATTATGGTTGAATTAAATTGACACCCTGTCAAGGACCTCTGATATCTGACCACTGCAGTGCTAATGTTTGTGGCATGGTAGGGATATATAGTATGCTCACATACAATGATACTCTGGATTTTATCCCATATAATCCCCTTCTCCCTAACATCCTCGTTCACACCCAACAGGCCTTGAGGAAAGCTAGAGTCGGGTGTTCCCAACCCTGTCTGTTGGTTATTGAGGATGCCTCTTTTGATACCCACAGAACAACACTACCACCATGTGGACTGTGACTTTAGGTGTGAAGTTTACCTACACTACATAACAGGGGAACAACATGATACACATACTGTACAACCGCCCTTGAAAAGGGATGCATAAACAGCTGAACACTCACTGCTCATTTTTCGCCACTAGGGGGCGAGCTGAGCCAGGTTTAATGAAACGAATGGACCACCAGCACATTTGTGATTGAACAAACTGCAGTATTGTATGAAATAATTATTACAGCAACAGCAATTTTTATTATTATTATTATATTATTGTGACCATTCTTATTATATGTCTTTTTTTCTGAATACATTTATGTATATTTTAGATATAATAAAAGGATAAAAAGTTAGGAATAAGAAGAATCTCTTTTGAGTAATAATATGGCTATAATGTTAATTCAGTTCAGTCATGAATAATAATGAATGTTATTTCTATATATCACAGTTAGTGTTTCATATTGTGACTCATCATAATAGGATACAAAGTCATAATTTTATACACTGTGTTTTAACTACAGCCTACTCGTGATGTTTATTTTTATCCTTCTTCTTTTTATAAAAAACAAAAACAAACACAGGCTTTATTAATAACCTCTTCCCTTACCGGATACTTTGAGTGGCAGAAGCAGCTCCTCATTGGCTGAAGCCGCCGTGACGTCACCCCTCCGCCGGTGTTGAGCGGTGCTGAAGCGGCGGCGTGGAGACAGCTGTGTGTGTGTTTGTATTGTGTGTGTGTGTGTGTGTGTGTGTGTGTGTGTCCGGACCTTCACCGTCGGACCGGTTTCATTACCCCCTTATATAGTTCTACATTCCCGGGACACCCCGGTTAATTTAACCCTGCAGGTATCCGGTAATAGAGCGGAAAATATTAGCTTCCTAATGCAGCTTTGACGTCAAAGCTGCGTCGACCACTCGCATGATTTTTTTTTTTAATATATATATTTTTAGTTTAGTTGAATGTTTTTGGACCAAACCTCGTATTCAAATCCGAGTCACCTGGAAGAAGAGGGAGGATGGACATCACCTGTGACTGACGGCTGCTGTCAGGTAGGCGTTAATGTCGCGAGGACAGTCGCTGGTGATGGATGCGCCAAATGCACGAGCGCTTGTCTGTTGTATGTGCTTTAGCTACTTTACCTTGAAGTCAGTTATTCAGTTGTATCTTGATGCTAATCTTATCTTACTTTATATGTCTCTGTGTGTGTGTGTGTGTGTGTGTGGAAGAGAGAGAGGTGCTGTTTCTGTCATGGCTGGTTCTTCTGGCTCCTGTATTCACTATATTTTTCTGTCTAACATGTTTTCCCACTTCAGCCACTTTGACTATTTCATTTTCATCATGAAAACCAACACACACACACACACACACACACACACACACACACACACACACACACACCTGGCTACACAGCACAGTGACCTTCCTCTTCTGTCTGTGCATATATGACTTTAACTTTCCAGTCATCTGATCATGTTGAACCATTATTGAGTTCTTACTGAAACTTTTCCTCTCATGAATGCAGACCAACATGGCTCTGTAATGATGTTGTCTCATTACAGAGCCACATCACTGATAACGAGCAGCAGCATCATCTGAGTCTGTTTCCCCCCCGAAGCGCAGCAGCAAAAAAAGGGGGACCTAGCTCAGACTCTTTGCTTTCCCAGGACCACCACAGTCCCATTCCTCACGCGAGATGGTTGACTTGATCTGACAGAAATTTCCAGCATAAACAGTTAATCACAACCATCTCGGTGTGCTCCAGTACCCAGAGGACAGAGCTGTTGTGCCATAGAAGTTAAGGGACTAGAGTCGAATCCGCTTTGCAGTGAAATTGTTTGTCCTCTGCAGACAACTAGTCAGTCACACTGGCCTACTTCCCTGTGGTATTGAACTGTTGAACTGTTGAAAATAAGCGAGGGACAGGATAAATCAAGACTGCGGCCCTCTCGGGTATTATATTATCCCTCGTGTTACATCACCAGAGATATTAATCTTAAGAACCAAACAGGGGACATATTGATTTAAAGTGATCAGCGAGGCTTCCTCCACAGAAATGGATGTTGTGTTTATAATTGCAGATTTACTTTACTAAGTGATAATGTGTTTTTAGCTGAAGGTAGAAATTAGATCCAGGAGTAGTTGGGGATTCAGTGTCTTGCTCAAGGACAAAGCACCAACCTTATGATGAAGGGGCCTACCTGCTCTCCCTCATGAGCTCTGCTGTGCAGTTATGCAATTAGGTGCCAAACAATAGTCTATTTTTTTTGTAGCTTAATGAATAATTACATTTAAATATAAAATAACGCAGTGTAGTTAGATCTTTTCTGGAAATACTAGACTAGAAGTAGGCTGACTATATGAAATATGCGTAATAAATGCGTGTGCTAAAATAAAAACCTGGCTCTGGTGATGCAGAATAGAAATATAAGTATTGTTAAATTCTCTATTTTTATGTTTTGTTGTTGAATTAGGGCTCTGAAGACGGTTCACCAAGTTCCACAGAAAAGCCACATCCACTTTTTCTATTGATCAGATGTAAATCTGACAGACATTGCTGCACTAGACTGAAATTGCTCCTACGTGTTTATATTGACGCTTAGCCCATCATCTTGACCTATAACTTCATCTATAACCTATAATCATCATCACTGGGGGAATGGAGATGAAGAGAGGCTGACCCTTCTGATTTAAAATAGTGTCTTTAGCAGCCAAACAATCGGAGCCTGATAGAAGATGTTGCCCTGTCTTTAAGCAGCTTGTTAAGTAGTTCACAAATTATTCTACCAGCTTAAAAAAGGAAGATGAAGAGAGTACTCTGCCAGCCTTTAATGGCACATTTAGCTCCAGAGAAACATGCATAATTCACATTATTCAACTACATAAAGTATAATCTGGCTACAATTTCTAATGTAACTTCACCTCTTGGTTCTGTTTTCCCTTAAACATTACACCATAAACATAGATTAACCCAGTTTATTAGGGATGGTATTTCTGATCGGATGCAACGTGTTTACTGTTTGTTGCCATGGTAAGGATGTTGTTTATCGTCGCGATGTGATGATAAAGAGGATTACCTCTTCATGGTCATCTGCATTAGATGTGCAGATTATTTACACATTATGTCCAGACAGTAGCACAACAATCTGGCATCTCTGAACTGATGGCTGCCTGACGTAGTGACATAACAAAGCCCGAAACAGGGCTATGTAACACTGCTGAAGGCAGATATTAGTAAATGCTGTGTGGTTCTATCCCTAGCAACATTAATTATTACTGATAACTTAAATGGATTATTTAATATTCATTCACTTTGATTTCTTTGTCTCTCTGATTGACTCTCCAGTGGTTAAATATTATATGAGTTTGTAATTACTTTTTTTTTTTTACTTAGCAATAGTCTGATGATCAGTATTATGCTGCCTGGTTCCTGATGTCTGTAAAATCAGGAGCAATGAGTATGAATATGGGAGAACACGTTGAATTAACTAAACTGATGTGAAAATGTATTTACTCTTAGCAGTGCCAGCGGAGCATCTCTGCAGTGCAGCTGCCCTAGTTACAGAGCAGCTGAGTAACTGTGGGAGACTGTGGTTGGCCCAGGCAGGGAGAGGAGGAGTTTATTAATGGTTGACTGGAATATGGAGGGTAGGCTGTGCTAAGAGCCAGGAGCAGACAACAGAGTAGGACTTTGACTGGAGGAACACGGACAGCAGTAGCTTGCAGTTGTATTTTATGTTAGTCTTTTATCGTTTCTATTCTGTTGGGATGTTTTTAGCCCAGAATTAAAGACGCGTTTTTAACTCAAATCTATAATTAGGTCCCTGAGCGCGGCAATACAGCAAGAAAGGCCACTGAGGGCATTAAAACTGAGAAAAAAATCAAGAAGCAGATCCACAGGGAGATCCACATAAACACTTTGTATGCAACAAGACCTGCTCCATTTGAAAAGTGTCCTGAGATAACTTGTGTTATGAATTGACGCTATACAAATAAAATTGAATTGAATTGAACAACAAAGATACAATCTATCCAGATTACAATAACATGCAGCATTAAAACACGTCTTAATGGTCCAACTGTGCTAAATATAAAGTCGAATACTTCTGTGTTCAGCTTTATTGTTACAGGAACAGTTTGCCGTGGAGCCATAACAGTTGTGACTTATTTCATGCATTTTTAATTCTCTTTGGTATATTCACATTTAATGCATCTTTCAACACACTTAAAAAAACAAACTGTTCAGGTTCAATAACAGTAGCAGTGGTAGTAATTGATTGTTTCATGTATTTTATATATCCACACATATAATCTTCCTCTGTACTCTTGCATAGATGTGAATCTGTTTCTCCTCCACTGATACCATATTCAAAGAAGATCCAACGCTTTTATCAGTGATTGTTTTCTATTCTGTGCTTTCAGGATTTTATTTTAGGAACATGGAGACAGTTTCCATGGACCAGCCTCCTCCAGCAGTATGATTGGAACATCCAGTCTCTCAGGGGACACCCT